AGACTAACGGAAATGTTCAGGTTATCTAGTGGTATCAGGTAATAACCTGGATGAGGCTGGGTTAGGGGGAGAGTGGTATCGGGTAACAACCTGCATGAGGCTGGATGAGGGGGAGAGTGGTATCGGGTAACAACCTGCACGAGGTTGGTTGAGGGGGAGAGTGGTATCAGGTAACAACCTGCATGAGGCTTGGTGAGAACGAGTGTTATTGTGGGGAACGTGTGCTGGAGAGAACGAGTGTTATTGTGGGGAAACGTTTGCTGGAAAGAACGGGTGTCAATGTGTGGAACGTTTTCTGGAGAGAACGAGTGTTATTGTGGGGGAAGGTTTGCTGGAGAGAACGGGTGTCATTGTGGGGAACGTTTTCTGGAGAGATGAGTGTCATGGTGTGGAACGTTTTCTGGAGAGAACGAGTGTTATTGTGGGGGAAGGTTTGCTGGAGAGAACGGGTGTCATTGTGGGGAACGTTTTCTGGAGAGAACGAGTGTTATTGTGGGGGAACGTTTGCTGGAGAGAACGGGTGTCATTGTGGGGAACGTTTTCTGGAGAGAACGGGTGTCATTGTGTGGAACGTTTTCTGGAGAGAATGAGTGTTATTGTGGGGGAACGTTTGCTGGAGAGAACGGGTGTCATTGTGGGGAACGTTTTCTGGAGAGAACGGGTGTCATTGTGGGGAACGTTTGCTGGAGAGAACGAGTGTCATTGTGGGGAGCGTTTTCTGGAGAGAACGGGTGTCATTGTGGGGAACGTTTTCTGGAGAGAACGAGTGTTATTGTGGGGGAAGGTTTGCTGGAGAGAACGGGTGTCATTGTGGGGAACGTTTTCTGGAGAGAACGAGTGTTATTGTGGGGGAACGTTTGCTGGAGAGAACGGGTGTCATTGTGGGGAACGTTTTCTGGAGAGAACGGGTGTCATTGTGTGGAACGTTTTCTGGAGAGAATGAGTGTTATTGTGGGGGAACGTTTGCTGGAGAGAGAGAACGTTTTCTGGAGAGAACGGGTGTCATTGTGGGGAACATTTGCTGGAGAGAACGAGTGTCATTGTGAGGAACGTTTGCTGGAGAGAACGAGTGACATTGTGTAGAACGTTTGCTGGAGAGAACGAGTGACATTGTGTAGAACGTTTGCTGGAGAGAACGAGTGTCATTGTGTGGAACGTTTTCTGGAGAGAATGAGTGTTATTGTGGGGGAACGTTTGCTGGAGAGAACGGGTGTCATTGTGGAGAACGTTTTCTGGAGAGAACGAGTGTCATTGTGGGGAACGTTTGCTGGAGAGAACGGGTGTCATTGTGGGGAACGTTTGCTGGAGAGAACGAGTGTCGTTGTGTAAAACGTTTGCTGGAGAGCACGAAATCAGAGTGGGTAACGTTTACTATGTGACATATAAGACTGACCAAAGGGAATGTGTTCCCCTTCCAACTTCAAACTATAATGAAGACCGAAAGTGCAGCAGCCTCGACGTATCCTGGATAGAAAACACCAATACGTAAGGACCTGGTGTATTGCCGGAAGTCCAGCTTCTATGGCCCGTAGGGTCTTGCTTTTTTCTAGATTGTTTTGAAAAGAGTAAAAAATATTGATAAATGTCGCCTAAACGTAGCATGATAACATTAGCATCATAGTAAACTTGATAAATGTGTGCCTATTTGTTCATAATATGCTATTTGCTTAGAATTTGCTCCCACTTGCCTAGGATGTGTTCCTATTTCGAATTTAAACAGTTTCGCTCTGAACTTAAACCAGCTCTCAGATTTTGCGATGGGATATTATTACAGAATATAAACTGTTTTCTCGTGTGAAGTAGAGGACATATCCAGGGAGAAAACCATGTATCAATGTTTAATCCGCACAATCCAGGCAAATTATGTGATATTTAAAGACTGGTGTCACTTTGTGATGGGTGAAACTCTTTCGTGGCCAAATGACCAGGAAAGCACTATCTAATACAAGGGATCTTTAATTGAGTCACTACACGATCACTCCAAGAGAATTATTTATGTTCTGTCCTTAAAGATAATGTATGTAGAACATTCATGCGTAAGGGTCATGTCACAAAGGGTATTGATATTTACCTAATAGAACATTCTTCATCAGTCGACCAAATAATGGTAAACTAGTTCCCTCACCAGGAGACCTAACTATGGTAGTCTGGTCTCATCCATCTGTCGATCTACAGATGGTTGTATGGTTTCTCAATCATTCGACATGCCGATAGTTGTCTGGTCTCTCCATCATTCGATCTACCGATGGTTGTCTGGTCTCTCCATCATTCGACCTACCGATGGTTGTCTGGTCTCTCCATCATTCGACCTACCGATGGTTGTCTGGTCTCTCCATCATTCGACATACCGATTGTAGTCTGGTCTCTCCATCATTCGATCTACCGATGGTTGTCTGGCCTCTTCATCATTCGATCTACCGATGGTAGTCTGGTCTCATCCATCTGTCGATCTACCGATGGTTGTATGGTTTCTCAATCATTCGACATGCCGATAGTTGTCTGGCCTCTTCATCATTCGATCTACCGATGGTTGTCTGGTTTCTCAATCATTCGACCTACCGATGGTTGTCTGGTTTCTCAATCATTCGACCTACCGATGGTTGTCTGGTTTCTCCATCATTCGACATACCGATGGTTGTCTGGTCACTCCATTATTCGACCTACCGATGGTTGTTTGGTATCTTTATCATTCGACCTGGTATCTTTATCATTCGACATACCGATGGTTGTCTGGTCTCTCCATCATTCGACCCATTCGACATACCGATGGTTGTCTGGTCTCTCCATCATTCGACATACCGATTGTAGTCTGGTCTCTCAATCATTCGACATACCGATGGTTGTCTGGTCACTCCATTATTCGACCTACCCAATGGTTGTCTGGCCTCTTCATCATTCGATCTATCGATGGTTGTCTGGTCTCTCCATCATTCGACCTAACTATGGTTGTCTGGTTTCTCCATCATTCAATATAGCGATGGTTGTCTGGTCACTCCATCATTCGATCTACCGATGGTTGTCTGGTCTCTTCATCTTTTGACATACCGATGTTTGTTTGACTTCTTCATCATTCGACCTAACTATGGTTGTCTGGTTTCTCCATCATTCAATATACCGATGATTGTCTAGTTTCTCCATCATTCGACCTACCGATGGTTGTCTGGTTTCTCCATCATTCGACCTATCGATGGCTGTCTGGTTTCTCCATCATTCAATATACCGATGATTGTCTGGTCTCTCCATCATTCGACCTACCGATGGTTGTCTGGTTTCTCCATCATTCGACCTACCGATGGTTGTCTGGTTTCTCCATCATTCGACCTACCGATGGTTGTCTGGTTTCTCCATCATTCGACCTACCGATGGTTGTCTGGTTTCTCCATCATTCGACCTACCAATGGTTGTCTGGTTTCTCCATCATTCAATATACCGATGGTTGTCTGGTTTCCCCATCATTCAATATACCGATGGTTGTCTGGTTTCTCCATCATTCAATATACCGATGTTTTTCTGGTTTCTCCATCATTCAATATACCGATGGTTGTCTGGTCACTCCATTATTCGACCTAACTATGGTTGTCTGGTCTCTCCATCATTCAATATACCAATGGTTGTCTGGTTTCTCCATCATTCGACATACCGATGGTAGTCTGGTGTCTCCATCATTCGACCTACCGATGGTTGTCTGGTCACTCCATTATTCGACCTACCGATGGTTGTCTGGTTTCTCCATCATTCGACCTACCAATGGTTGTCTGGTTTCTCCATCATTCGACCTACCGATAGTTGTCTGGTTTCTCAATCATTCGACCTACCGATAGTTGTCTGGTTTCTCCATCATTCGACCTACCGATAGTTGTCTGGTTTCTCAATCATTCGACCTACCGATGGTTGTCTGGTTTCTCCATCATTCGACATGCCGAAGGTTGTCTGGTGTCTCCACATCCGACCTACCTACTGGTTACCCAATCATTCGATTTACATTCACAGACGAATATTGTCTTATGTTTGAGATGCAATACAACTAGTTCTACTAAGTTTATATTCGTCATTGTTTATTTGGTCTCCTTGTCATATTAACAATACGAACTATTTTTTTCGTGCTATGAATTCATTTCAGGAAATAATTCCTCTTATACATATCCGTCACAGCTCCATTGTAAATCGATTTCCAAGGAATTATTGATGACTGTCCTCTGGAAGCATTCTGACGCACTGGAATGTATAGAAATGTAGCGACTTTATTTCCCCCTATATAAGCTGCAGCCACCCATGAATTGATAGCAGCACTCGGCCATATCGACATTTGCATAGCAATATCAGCGTGACAGTGCTAAAACCACCAACGTTTCACCCGTGTACGACAGAGCATGTCTTATTACAAGTGGAAATTAGCTATTAGTGTCGTTGTTTGCAGACTTTGATGGAACGTGTGCTTATAGATAACCTTGACAGCATATTTTATCAAACAATAAACGGAACAAGGCAACAGAAGCTATTAGTAATTAGAAAAAAACTAAGGAGACAATTAATTCAGTATCAACCATGTTTGAATGAACCAGGAAAAGCTGCTGGAGAGAAAGCGCTCTTGTGATGTAGATTATTTATATTTGTTGTTTTGTATTGGAACTGTACAGATAAGCCGTAAGGTTTGAAGTCTGAATAAATGAATCAGATTAACTTAAACAGCCGACTACAATCGTCACGACTTACTATAGATGTATGTAATTTAAACAGTTAAAATAAATTTGCCCTTCAACACTCTTTCTTTCTGTTATCAAACTGCACCTTAAAAAATACGTATAAGGCAACGAATACTTGCCAGTAAAACATCGTGAAAATCAAATTTCCTGGAAAGTGTTCTTAATTCATTTAAGGAATATGTTGATGTTTCTTATCCATCAACGGGTTAATCTTAAGCTATACATGATGGGAAATAAATGTTGTTTCAATGTTTCTCATCAAGTTGGTGTTAATTTGAACCTGAATGCCATCTCGAGATGAATGTGGAGGTGATTTTAAATATGTAAAATAGTAGTGCCTAATCTTGTATGATCTAGATGTGGCAAAATGAAAAAAGGGAGTGTAAATGTGATGCCAGCTCTAGGAAGTTGATCTACAGCACAGTTTAACATACAAATGGAGTCGTAATCACAATTAACTGTCGTATCTGATTTCATTATATGTCCTAGAAAACAAGAAATATGATTCCAATAGCTGGGCTGTTTCCGGTGTTGACTTATGACTACGGGGAAGTTAAAGTCGCCATAGCGATCTGTTTGGAAAATACTCTATTCCCTTGTCGGATGTCAGACAAGACAACGTTTCATGATTACATATCCTATTTTCAATTGAGATCGACCAAGATTTACACGGCGGAAGCCGTGGTGAATAAAAAACGCTTACTCTTCCTGAACACATGGTAATTTCCTTTTTGTAGTTAAACACTGGGCTCAACATCTTTCCTCTCTCATGATACTTGTGTTTAATCCCTGCGGCTGAATGCAACTACGAGACATCTATTTGGGAAATGTATGGATTTTAAAGAAAATGTTACATACGTGGAGCATATTATTGTAGTTTCATATATGTGATTTTTTCTTTGTTTACATCAGGCAGATGTCTTCTTCAGTTTGTTTACCTTTTTCTTTGTTTACATCAGACAGGTATTTTCTTGTTCCCTTTGTTTACCTTTCCTTCTTTGTTTACATCAGACAGGTATTTTCTTGTTCCCTTTGTTTACCTTTCCTTCTTTGTTTACATCAGGCAGGTGTCTTGTTCCCTTTCTTTACCTTTTTTTCTTTGTTTATATCAGGCAGGTGTCTTGTTCCCTTTCTTTACCCTTTTTTCTTTGTTTACATCAGGCAGGTGTCTTGTTCCCTTTCTTTACCTTTTTTTCTTTGTTTATATCAGGCAGGTGTCTTGTTCCCTTTCTTTACCCTTTTTTCTTTGTTTACATCAGGCAGGTGTTTGTTCCCTTTGTTTACCTTTTTCTTTGTTTACATCAGGCAGGTGTCTTGTTCCCTTTGTTTACGTTTTTTTCTTTGTTTATATCAGACAGGTATTTTCTTGTTCCCTTTGTTTACCTTTTTCTTTGTTTACATCAGGCAGGCGTCTTGTTCCCTTTGTTTACCTTTTTCTTTGTTTACATCAGGCGGGTGTCTTGTTCCCTTTGTTTACCTTTTTTTCTTTGTATACACCAGGCAGGTGTCTTCTTGTTACAATTGTTTACCTTTTTTTCTTTGTTTACATCAGGCAGGTACTTTGTTCCAATTGTTTATCTTTCCTCTTTGTCTTCATCAGGAAGGTATCATCTTGTTTTCTGTGCTATGTTTGATTCTTTAGTTCCGTCGCTCAAATGTTGATAACTTCCTCAAGATCTCTGTTTAGCAGAATGACGAAACGACCTCACGTGACAGGGAAGATCGTAAAGAGCAGAAACGGCAACGACGTAGAAAGAGGCGAAAAGAGGTATAAACATATACTATGTCGAAATTCCCCTCTACTGTCTACCACATTCTATATTTCCATATGCCCCCCGGTTTACACTAACGAGTTTCTTTACTAAAAACACATTTAATAAGAAGACTCGACTCAACAATAATACTGAGGCTAAGAAGTATTTAAATGAATATCTATTTCACAAGTCCTGTATTAGTACATGTGAAAATAAAGACAGAGCATGATATAAAGCTTAAATTTAACTGTGTTAATGTGACTTACGGGCCACACTAACGGTATGTACAAAGTTAACCGTGTTGATGTGACTTACGGGCCACACTAACGGTATGTACAAAAGTTAACCGTGTTAATGTGACTTACGGGCCACACTAACGGTATGTACAAAGTTAACCGTGTTGATGTGACTTACGGGCCACACTAACGGTATGTACACAGTTAACCGTGTTGATGTGACTTACGGGCCACACTAACGGTATGTACAAAAGTTAACCGTGTTGATGTGACTTACGGGCCACACTAACGGTATGTACAAAGTTAACCGTGTTGATGTGACTTACGGGCCACACTAACGGTATGTACAAAAGTTAACCGTGTTAATGTGACTTACGGGCCACACTAACAGTATGTACAAAGTTATCCGTGTTAATGTGACTTACGGGCCACACTAACGGTATGTACAAAAGTTAACCGTGTTGATGTGACTTAAGGGCCACACTAACGGTATGTACAAAGTTAACCGTGTTGATGTGACTTACGGGCCACACTAACGGTATGTACAAAGTTAACCGTGTTGATGTGACTTACGGGCCACACTAACGGTATGTACAAAAGTTAACCGTGTTAATGTGACTTACGGGCCACACTAACAGTATGTACAAAGTTATCCGTGTTAATGTGACTTACGGGCCACACTAACGGTATGTACAAAAGTTAACCGTGTTGATGTGACTTAAGGGCCACACTAACGGTATGTACAAAGTTAACCGTGTTGATGTGACTTACGGGCCACACTAACGGTATGTACAAAGTTAACCGTGTTAATGTGACTTACGGGCCACACTAACAGTATGTACAAAGTTAAGCGTGCTAATGTGACTTACGGGCCACACTAACTGTATGTACAAAGTTAACCGTGTTAATGTGACTTACGGGCCACACTAACAGTATGTACAAAGTTAAGCGTGCTAATGTGACTTACGGGCCACACTAACGGTATGTACTGTATATGTGTTTTATAGGTACAATAACGATCTGTTTTAGAAATGGCTTGCCAGAGATCGTGTCGCATGTTTTCATTTTTTTGTTTTTTGTCTATTGTCTTTTGTCTTTAATTTTGAATAATGAATTAACAATGATGCTGTGCTGGAAACGAAGTTAATTATCGTAATATTTAATTCTCTAGTATTTCCCTTGATAATGCAATGATAGCATTTGAAATATTTTATGGATGTTTGTCTCTAGCGTGGCTAGGTTGTTGTTGAAATAAGTCTCGCTGCATTCTACTTTCATTGTAGTTACTGTATACGTAATGTTTACATCGCTTTATTACTCATTTCATTACACGACAGTTTCAGGGGGAGCCTACCTTTATCTGAATATATGTACAATAGTTTAGCCAGAAATATGATCTAGATGAAGGATTGTAATTTAAGTTTCCCTGAATTTATTATTAGGCACTCGAAGCCCATTTCTATAATCCTACATGCTTTTATGGATCTTTTTAAGGCTGTTTCGCAACATCTGCTCGAGGTTGCCATGCAAGAGGGGAAAATACATGTATTCATACTGTTTACGGAACCGCCTCTATCTAAATATTACATAAACTGATACTCACATTTACCACTATACCTATAAAACGACCGTTTTCTTTGACTTCGAGTTCTATCTCCGTTCCGTCATGTTTGTTACAACGCGCTAAAATTTTCACAGTATTTTGACGAAATTCAGAAATATGAAAAAAAGAAGATAAAAAGACGATAGCAGTATACTTTTCTACGGAAGATCCATGGAATTAAGGTTGTACTTGTAAAGATGTCATTTTATCCACATACTCACTGCTCTCCTACTATTTGTTAACAGTCATGGAATGGGTCAGAAGAAAACCAGACCGATGACTTCCCGGAGAAGCACAAAATTGATGTTGACGAATTGAAGAGACGGGTAAATTGACATAATTTCTGTGTAAATTAAAAACTAGTAGATAATGGTGTGTTTATAATGAATATAGCTGTTTACATGTCTGATAATGTCATGACGGTTAAGGTATATTTATAGATGTACCAGAGGATGGTGTGATTGTTTTGTCGTTCCCTTGGTTGCTGTCGGTGTTATCATATCGACTTTAACACAACATTTGTATTATTTTCAGTTGCACAAACAACGTAATTTTTCACATTACATTTGAACCACTACTAATTACAGCCTCAAATCCCAACATTTCACATCGATTTTGCATGTATCCTGTTTCGTATAAGCTTTTAAATCTGGCTCACTACCTAGGCATGTGTTTAAATGACACTGAAGTTAGGGCGCATAATGACCAGCGACTACATGTAAGCGGCGCCATTATTACACTGTAATTTAAACAGAGACTTTTGAGTATAAAGGGTCTTTTATGTACTTATGTAGAGAGCCGTTCAAAGTAAACGATTTAAGAGTCAACATAAACACGAAAGAAAAGCTGTAAACGTTTTTTATTATCTACAAGTAGCTGTAAGCAATTCCAGTTGGAAAATTTTAAAATGTTGCTGTTAACACGCTATAAAATCAGTCACACCTAACAAACTGGCCATCACATCTATACACCAAAAGTAACATATACATCCATATCCCAAAACTAAACTATACAACCACATCCATATCCCAAAACTAAACTATACAACCACATCCATACCCCAACACTAAACTATACAACCACATCCATACCCCAACACTAAACTATACAACCACATCCATACCCCAACACTAAACTATACAACCACATCCATACCCCAACACTAAACTATACAACCACATCCATACCCCAACACTGAAATATACAACCACATCCATACCCCAACACTAAACTATACAACCACATCCATACCCCAACACTAAACTATACAACCACATCCATACCCCAACACTAAAATATACAACCACATCCACACCCCAACACTACAACATACAACCACATCCATACCCCAACACTGAACTATACAACCACATCCATACCCCAACACTGAAATATACAACCACATCCATACCCCAACACTAAACTATACAACCACATCCATACCCCAACACTAAACTATACAACCACATCCATACCCCAACACTGAAATATACAACCACATCCATACCCCAACACTAAACTATACAACCACATCCATACCCCAACACTAAACTATACAACCACATCCATACCCCAACACTAAACTATACAACCACATCCATACCCCAACACTAAACTATACAACCACATCCATACCCCAACACTACAACATACAACCACATCCATACCCAACACTAAAATATACAACCACATCCATACCCCAACACTAAACTATACAACCACATCCATACCCCAACACTAAACTATACAACCACATCCATACCCCAACACTAAACTATACAACCACATCCATACCCCAACACTAAACTATACAACCACATCCATACCCCAACACTACAACATACAACCACATCCATACCCCAACACTAAACTATACAACCACATCCATACCCCAACACTAAACTATACAACCACATCCATACCCCAACACTAAACTATACAACCACATCCATACCCCAACACTAAACTATACAACCACATCCATACCCCAACACTAAACTATACAACCACATCCATACCCCAACACTAAACTATACAACCACATCCATACCCCAACACTAAACTATACAACCACATCCATACCCCAACACTAAACTATATACAACCACATCCATACCCCAACACTAAACATATACAACCACATCCATACCCCAACACTAAACTATACAACCACATCCATACCCCAACACTAAACTATACAACCACATCCATACCCCAACACTAAACTATACAACCACATCCATACCCCAACACTAAACTATAAACCACATCCATACCCCAACACTAAAACGTAAACCCAACACTAAAATATACAACCACATCCATACCCCAACACTAAACTATACAACCACATCCATACCCCAACACTAAACTATACAACCACATCCATACCCCAACACTAAACTATACAACCACATCCATACCCCAACACTAAACTATACAACCACATCCATACCCCAACACTAAACTATACAACCACATCCATACCCCAACACTAAACTATACAACCACATCCATACCCCAACACTAAACTATACAACCACATCCACACCCCAACACTAAAATATACAACCACATCCATACCCCAACACTAAACTATACAACCACATCCATACCCCAACACTAAACTATACAACCACATCCATACCCCAACACTAAACTATACAACCACATCCATACCCCAACACTAAACTATACAACCACATCCATACCCCAACACTAAACTATACAACCACATCCATACCCCAACACTAACACTATACAACCACATCCATACCCCCCAACACTAAACATATACAACCACATCCATACCCCAACACTAAACTATATACAACCACATCCATACCCCAACACTAAACTATACAACCACATCCATACCCCAACACTAAACTATACAACCACATCCATACCCCAACACTAAACTATACAACCACATCCATACCCCAACACTAAACTATACAACCACATCCATACCCCAACACTAAACTATACAACCACATCCATACCCCAACACTAAACTATACAACCACATCCATACCCCAACACTAAACTATACAACCACATCCATACCCCAACACTAAACTATACAACCACATCCATACCCCAACACTAACATATACAACCACATCCATACCCCAACACTAAACTATACAACCACATCCATACCCCAACACTAAACTATACAACCACATCCATACCCCAACACTGAACTATACAACCACATCCATACCCCAACACTAAACTATACAACCACATCCATACCCCAACACTGAACTATACAACCACATCCATACCCCAACACTAAAATATACAACCACATCCATACCCCAACACTAAACTATACAACCACATCCATACCCCAACACTAAACTATACAACCACATCCATACCCCAACACTAAACTATACAACCACATCCATACCCCAACACTAAAATATACAACCACATCCATACCCCAACACTAAACTATACAACCACATCCATACCCCAACACTAAACTATACAACCACATCCATACCCCAACACTAAACTATACAACCACATCCATACCCCAACACTAAACTATACAACCACATCCATACCCCAACACTAAACTATACAACCACATCCATACCCCAACACTAAACTATACAACCACATCCATACCCCAACACTAAACTATACAACCACATCCATACCCCAACACTAAACTATACAACCACATCCATACCCCAACACTAAACTATACAACCACATCCATACCCCAACACTAAACTATACAACCACATCCATACCCCAACACTAAACTATACAACCACATCCATACCCCAACACTAAAACTATACAACCACATCCATACCCCAACACTAAACTATACAACCACATCCATACCCCAACACTAAACTATACAACCACATCCATACCCCAACACTAAACTATACAACCACATCCATACCCCAACACTAAACTATACAACCACATCCATACCCCAACACTAAACTATACAACCACATCCATACCCCAACACCAAACTATACAACCACATCCATACCCCAACACTAAACTATACAACCACATCCATACCCCAACACTAAACTATACAACCACATCCATACCCCAACACTAAACTATACAACCACATCCATACCCCAACACTAAACTATACAACCACATCCATACCCCAACACTAAACTATACAACCACATCCATACCCCAACACTAAACTATACAACCACATCCATACCCCAACACTAAACTATACAACCACATCCATACCCCAACACTAAACTATACAACCACATCCATACCCCAACACTAAACTATACAACCACATCCATACCCCAACACTAAACTATACAACCACATCCATACCCCAACACTATACCCCAACAACATATACAACCACATCCATACCCCAACACTAAACTATACAACCACATCCATACCCCAACACTAAACTATACAACCACATCCATACCCCAACACTAAACTATACAACCACATCCATACCCCAACACTAAACTATACAACCACATCCATACCCCAACACTAAACTATACAACCACATCCATACCCCAACACTAAACTATACAACCACATCCATACCCCAACACTAAACTATACAACCACATCCATACCCCAACACTAAACTATACAACCACATCCATACCCCAACACTAAACTATACAACCACATCCATACCCCAACACTAAACTATACAACCACATCCATACCCCAACCCAACACTACCCCAAACTAACATATACAACCTACTATACAACAACACTAAACTATACAACCACATCCATACCCCAACACTAAACTATACAACCACATCCATACCCCAACACTAAACTATACAACCACATCCATACCCCAACACTAAACTATACAACCACATCCATACCCCAACACTAAACTATACAACCACATCCATACCCCAACACTAAACTATACAACCACATCCATACCCCAACACTAAACTATACAACCACATCCATACCCCAACACTAAACTATACAACCACATCCATACCCCAACACTAAACTATACAACCACATCCATACCCCAACACTAAACTATACAACCACATCCATACCCCAACACTAAACTATACAACCACATCCATACTCCAACACTAAACTATACAACCACATCCATACCCCAACACTAAACTATACAACCACATCCATACCCCAACACTAAACTATACAACCACATCCATACCCCAACACTAAACTATACAACCACATCCATACCCCAACACTAAACTATACAACCACATCCATACCCCAACACTAAAAAATAAACCCAACACTAAAAAATACAACCACATCCATACCCCAACACTAAACTATACAACCACATCTATATAAACCCAACACTAAACTATACAACCACATCCATACCCCAACACTAAACTATACAACCACATCCATACCCCAACACTAAACTATACAACCACATCCATACCCCAACACTAAAATATACAACCACATCCATACCCCAACACTAAACTATACAACCACATCCATACCCCAACATTAAAATATACAACCACATCCATACCCCAACACTAAACTATACAACCACATCCATACCCCAACACTAAACTATACAACCACATCCATACCCCAACACTAAACTATACAACCACATCCATACCCCAACACTAAAATATACAATCACATCCACAACGCAAAACACAACAAACTAAAATCACATCTCCAAACTTGATAACTAGTAAAACTAATCATGTGTAAAAAAACCGGGTATATATTGGATGTTGAAGATATCTGAAGATTTTTTATTAACTGTTGGTATTTATATATATAGTGGTAAATGTTTCAAGCATATGTATGCAATATGAACCAGATCTCGGAGGATGCGGAGAAAGGCACAGAAAGCAACGACCCCCCAGCAGATAAACCTAGCTTATCTCGGCTCCGACGACGGGAGAAGAGAGTGAGTTTATCCATCGTCAAATCAATATTCAATTCCTTTCTAACAGAGCCCAAAAGTATGATGACGTACAAAAGACAATAAATGTGTACCCTTCGAGACAGCTAGCCGTTATATAAAGGTTTAAACAAGTGGGTTTTTTTTAAAAAGAATGTCGGTCTATTTTGGCAACGTATTTGGTACGAGGCATTTTGCTAGCTTGTTTACTTAACATGTACTTTTCCATCCATAAAACATGGACGGGTTTCTGGGTAGACCTTTGGTATAAATATCTAATACATACTTCTAGGTAATGATCACCTTGTCGACAATTTTACTGTATAATTTTATGGTAGCTATCTACATTATGCCATATTCTCTCAGTCTTAAAATTCTTTAAAATATTATGAAATTTATTTCTTTTCATATCATATTCATTTCATAAGATAGGCCTAACATTTGAATGCGGGAAGTTCCTAGTCCCAATGCTAGCCTTTTGTAACAGTATGTATATGTACTTTATGTATTACACTGGTACTGTATACAATTTAGTACATTGTACCTGTTTAAAGTATAGTGTACTTCATTTAGACATTCTTACAGTATATTGTAATCCTTACTTAAAACACATTTGGACTTATAAGCACGTCACGCAGAATTTACAAAGTGTATCATTTTTTACTGTTACAACAGAAAGTGATATTGCACATCTCCATTTTCTCTTGACAGAATAAAGTGTAAAATGTGAAGATGAAAATGAAATAAAAAAAGATAATGTATGTTTATTTTATCTATAGCCGAATTTTAATTATAAAACAAATGAAACCAGTCTGATATTGTTTTGAATCCGCCAATTCCGCCATATAAGTCAGCAATCATGTAATATTCATTTTCATTTTAGACAAGTCGAGCGTTCGATACCCTGTCAGAATGTCGGAAGATGTTCCGCCAAGAGATGGCGCTGCTAGGAAAGGAGGTTGAACAGTTCCGCACTATATGTCAAAACCAGGTATATAAATAGTGTGAATAATACATGTGAATATTAAAGAGCAGGTTGAAAGTCAGTATAGTTAGTATACGTAGTCCTAAGTACCACCAGAATAACATAATTAGGTTAATAGAATAATTAACATCCATCACATTTTATAGTTGATTACGGGGGTGAATGACTGACAATTTTATAGTTGATCAAGGGGGTGAATGACTGACAATTTTATAGTTGATCACGAGGGTGAATGACTGACAATTTTATAGTTGATCACGAGGGTGAATGACTGACAATTTTATAGTTGATCACGAGGGTGAATGACTGACAATTTTATAGTTGATCACGAGGGTGAATGACTGACAATTTTATAGTTGATCACAATTTTATACGAGGGTGAATGACTGACAATTTTATAGTTGATCACGAGGGTGAATGACTGACAATTTTATAGTTGATCACGAGGGTGAATGACTGACAATTTTATAGTTGGTCACGAGGGTGAATGACTGACAATTTTATAGTTGATCACGAGGGTGAATGACTGACAATTTTATAGCTGATCACGAGGGTGAATGACTGACAATTTTATAGTTGATCACGAGGGTGAATGACTGACAATTTTATAGTTGATCACGAGGGTGAATGACTGACAATATTATAGTTGATCACGAGGGTGAATGACTGACAATTTTATAGTTGATCACGAGGGTGAATGACTGACAATTTTATAGTTGATCACGAGGGTGAATGACTGACAATTTTATAGTTGATCACGAGGGTGAATGACTGACAATTTTATAGTTGATCACGAGGGTGAATGACTGACAATTTTATAGTTGATCACGAGGGTGAATGACTGACAATTTTATAGTTGATCACGAGGGTGAATGACTGACAATTTTATAGTTGATCACGAGGGTGAATGACTGACAATTTTATAGTTCACGAGGGTGAATGACTGACAATTTTATAGTTGGTCACGAGGGTGAATGACTGACAATTTTATAGTTGATCACGAGGGTGAATGACTGACAATTTTATAGTTGATCACGAGGGTGAATGACTGACAATTTTATAGTTGATCACGAGGGTGAATGACTGACAATTTTATAGTTGATCACGAGGGTGAATGACTGACAATTTTATAGTTGATCACGAGTGAATGTGACATAATTATAGTTGATCTCGAGGGTGAATGACTGACAATTTTATAGTTGATCACGAGGGTGAATGACTGACAATTTTATAGTTGATCACGAGGGTGAATGACTGACAATTTTATAGTTGATCACGAGGGTGAATGACTGACAATTTTATAGCTGATCACGAGGGTGAATGACTGACAATTTTATAGTTGATCACGAGGGTGAATGACTGACAATTTTATAGTTGATCACGAGGGTGAATGACTGACAATTTTATAGTTGGTCACGAGGGTGAATGACTGACAATTTTATAGTTGGTCACGAGGGTGAATGACTAACAATTTTATAGTTGATCACGAGGGTGAATGACTGACAATTTTATAGTTGATCACGAGGGTGAATGACTGACAATTTTATAGTTGATCACGAGGGTGAAAATTTTATAGTTGATCACGAGGGTGAATGACTGACAATTTTATAGTTGATCAAGAGGGTGAATGACTGACAATTTTATAGTTGATCACGAGGGTGAATGACTGACAATTTTATAGTTGATCACGAGGGTGAATGACTGACAATTTTATAGTTGATCACGAGGGTGAATGACTGACAATTTTATAGTTGATCACGAGGGTGAATGACTGACAATTTTATAGTTGATCACGAGGGTGAATGACTGACAATTTTATAGTTGATCACGAGGGTGAATGACTGACAATTTTATAGTTGATCACGAGGGTGAATGACTGACAATTTTATAGTTGATCACGAGGGTGAATGACTGACAATTTTATAGTTGATCATGAGGGTGAATGACTGACAATTTTATAGTTGAATGTTAGTCATTATAGAAAGATTACACGTAAAGTCAGTACAAGCTAATCCTGATTGTTCCTTAATGATAATGACACTGATGCCAATGTGATGGGTATAAAATGTTTCATTGTAACACGTGTTTGGGTAATGTGAGCTACCACACCGGGGAACATTATATCACGCATTACTGATAATAAGGTCGTGACGTTCTGATCTACAACTCTAAGATAGAAAAAGTGTTATGTAATGTTATGAAACAGACTTTGTAAATCCGTAGGAGCATTTATACGAGTATAAGATTCTATTTATCAGAAAGTAAGCAAGTTATCGTTCAAAACCCAAAATTATGAATTCATAACGCGTTTAAGGACAATTTGATAATCTGAAGAATTTGAATTATTGCAGATACTCGCTCATTATGAAAGTTGCAATAGCTGATAAGATAACTTGGCTTCTTGATATTTTACTGGTAAATGTTTTTTTCTTTACTTTTCACGGAATGAGAGTGTATTGACTGAAATTAAAAGCTGAAATATTAGCGTGGTTAATTATTTTTTGAAAAAAAAAAAAATCCAATTTAAATTTTAAATTTTTATGTTACAAACAAAGTGATGTTGATATCACATGCCTGTCATGTTCAGTGGTGTTGTCATGCGGTGTAAGATTCGTCGAAACAATCACTTAGTAAGTGCTTTCTATCAGTTTTTTTCATGGGTTCGAACTAAGGATACTCACATGCTGAAGTAGCATTGTTGATTTTCTGTACATCATTTATAGAATCTGTTTTGATCAGTTGAAGAACGGGAGTAATAAACATAATTTAATAGCTACATTAAAGAACCAATAGCATTTACATCCGTAATGAATCTCACAAAATTATGTCCGACAATCGGAAAAGGTTTTCTTATAGATTGGCGTCTAGATTTGCCACACACTGTGGGGGAGACATAAAGAAACGTTTCTTGATGAAGGTAGATGTTATGAATACTTCATTTCCTCAAAGATCTGATTACAGAAGGGTATTACCAGGACTACAAAAATCAATACTCAAGTTTATATTGTCCGCGAGATATTTCTAAATCACAGCGAAGGTGCTCGTCACGTGTCTGAGAGTCTTTGAATTATTTACAATCATATAGCATTAATTATATATATTCCAGGGGCTGTAGTACATCCGTTAATTATCATCAGCGATGTTTAAGTCGTCATTTGTAGGTAGTCCTTAATTATTTACCGTCTGTTTCTGAGTACTAAACCATTTCGTTCTGTTGTAGACTTTGATTGTCATTAAACTTCTGGTGAGCTAATTAAGTGTACAATGAAACTATGCTAGATCATTTGATATCTAATTTAAAATTGTCCTAAAAATAATGTATTACAACTACATAATGATTTTAACAGGGACTACATGTGAAATGTGCTTGTTGATATATATTTTTATGTTTTAGCAGTTCAATCATTTGTGTATTCTGATATATACTGCAGTAATAAAGTTAACATCTTTCTAAACAACCAGTATATATACATATATTTCATATAACAGAACAGTATACATATGTCATGTACACAATACCATATAGTATCTGTCATTACAACAAAGTCTGTTTATGCCGCTGTATAATAACGATCAAACTCAAATGGTTGGGGAAAGAATACATTTATTATGGCCAACGACAACAGCTGAACATAAAAATATGTCTTGCCTGTCCCACGTTTTATCATGGTAAAATTTTAAAGCAAAATGCAAAAATAACGAACCATACCTAGTAAATTTAAATCAATGAACAGGAAATGAAAATTTTGTAAAATCCACTTAGTTTTTGGCATTTTTAGCACAAAAATCAAATGTAAATCTCTTCGAAGAGAGAGGGAAACTCATCTGATATTTTACTACACTTGTTTCAATATAATTTAAATCTGAAATGAACGAATAGAATAAACCGTAATGAAGTCAGTTTGTAAACAGTTTTCAAAATCTGAAGTTTTTGTCATAAAATACACAAATACAATAAATAAAAATTTGGCAAAGCCACAATTGGCTCTAGGAGGAGTTGATTCTACAAAACTGGTACCCCTTTTCCCCGCCTGCCCGACAGTCACCATACTATAACCCGGATTTGCACTATGTGTAACCCGGTCAAAAAGAAATCTGTTTAATGAGTTCAGATGTCAATAGCACGATTTAACTATACCAGGCTTGATCGGAATAGCCCCTGCACTCACGTGAAATGTGTAAGCTCCTTGGCATTCCTGATTTTTGTATTTTTGATCAGCACATCTAAACTAAAATCTGTAGAGTGAAATGTTGACGATACCGTCCTCACACCATAAAAATTAGATATATATATTCATATATATTACATATATGGCTATTTTATATATGAATATTCATTTTAACATAATCTTTGATAATGAGTTTATATATTTTAACGACGGTACTTAAACTCTTCTTGTAAAAATTGAAATACCATCGAATCTCGTTATCTCGCAGTCGGTAGGACCATGAGGAAAACTTCGAGTTATACGATTATTCGATGTAGATAAATGGGATGTTTGTCAAGTCTGATGAGAGATAGACAAAATACTTCGAATTATACAGGGTCTTCGATTTATAAGTGTACGAGAAAACGAGGTTTGACGGTATAATTATCGTCCATACCCAAGTTAAATCTCCAGCCATATTTCATCGAGAAAAAAACAGTTAGTGTAAATTTGCACTATAAAGAAATGTGTCATAACCCCATTTCACATAGAATCTGCAAAGTATGGCAGGCATTCGTGTTGAATGAAAACAGATAAAGAAACTTAGTATATTCAAAGTTAGATTAGACTATTGCATGTAAGGCCTGGAGTTGTATTGATCTAATTATAGCATAGTTTAATTGTCCATTCTTCTTTGTAATTTTAAACACATTGCTGATGGCAATGTGAATAAACTCGGCTAAATCCTCGAAAACATCACCAAATCATCTACTTTGTATTTCATCAATATTGTCATGATCCATGTTTCACAAAATCTATACTAACGATAGATGTAGACAGCATTAAATGGAGTAAACATATGATAGTTACATGTGGTCAGTAATGTGGGTCAGTCAATACCTCCTGGTTCCCTCTGGATATCCAACATAATGGATATACAGACAAATATTAACAGCCCTGTTAATTAATATCTTGTAAAGTCACACAAAACCAATATTCAAAGTCCGTCTGGTACTCGGGTTTCCTTTGGCTTAAACTCGCTTACTACCAACAGCACATGAACTACAAAAACACTGAATGCCCCAAAGCTATCGGAGTCAATTTGCGGGCGAGTAATACTGCTTGACTGCACTCACTTTCAGACTACTACTTACAGTAAGTAATGTTAAATAGCTACTCCAGTTTTCAATAGAAAGACAATATTCAGGTGTAGCTTGTTTATAAATAAATATAAATATACAAAGTTATATACAACATAGCGCAAAACAACTCAGCGACCAAATTCAATCAAACCGCAAAACAAAACAACAAATCAAACCGCAAAACAACAAATCAGCGACCAAATCAAACCGCAAAACAACAAATCAGCGACCAAATCAAACCGCAAAACAACAAATCAAAGTAGGAATACACAGATATCGTTTATCGGGGACAATTTGTATCGGCCATACAACGGAAGTTTGTTGTTCATGATTAGATAATTTGTAAACAATTTACTCCCTGGTAAATTTATTTCTTGGAGTAGCCAATGATAATTTTACCTGCTCACACAAAATATCACAAGCGTTCGGGTCTGGATCTCTGATCGGAAAGCAATTATGAGTTCATCTTCCTTAAAGAAAAAAACGCTTGTTTTGTATTGTTTTGTTTTGCGATCAGCTCCGGCGTCGAGCGTCCGTAAACAATTTAACATTTTCGACTTCTCAAAATCCGAAACCGATTTAAATGATTTTTTTCAAATCCTTTCCTGGCCTAAAATGAACCAAAATAGTAAATTATACGGTCTCTACAGGGGCCTGCCGGGCAGGGTTCAATTTACTCGGGATTCCAAAAATTTTCTTTCTCAACACCCAGATATGGTAGAATCAAATGCTCATGGATGGAAGCATCTTAAGGTGCTTTACCAAAATTCTGAATTGAATGGCCCCAGGGTCTCATATTTCTCTGTAGGTAGGGGGTAACGTTTATATAGGAAAAAAAGATTTTTGAGTATTTTTTATTTCATTATCATTGGAAATATATCAAACTTGAGCAGCATTATAATTAGAGAATGACTGCCTGATGGTATGTCCATATCGATCCTGGTTGACTCACACGGGCTGATGGATGGGGCCAAAAGGGATGAAATTGATTAAGATTCAGAAATCTTCTCAACACCTAGGTTTGTTAGAGCCAAATGCTCTACATGGATGAAAGTGTCTTAAGGTGCTTTAATTATCAAAATGAGTCTCACATTTCTTCCTGGAGGGGGTGATGACTGTACTCTAGTTTTTATTGAAAAATTGCATTTTTTAGCATAAAGTTGTTTATTTCACACTGGAAATAACTTATTATCAGTACAGTATGACAGTTTGGATGGTATGCATGTGTTGACACTGGCTTACTATCACCAATACCACAATTTCTTGTTCATGACATGTGAAAGCTACATACCCTTTAACCTTAGTTTATAATCAGTATTGCTTATCTGAGGTGACCATCAACGCCGCGAGGCTTCTTCTTAATAAAATAAAAACGTTTGTATGGGTACGAGAAAAACACGAGTTATTATATCAAAGATTCAAGATCTGGACAGGTACAGGTAGTTTGGACGTCATTGCGAAAATGAAGAGAACAACGTTTGTAAACAATTAAAAACAAGATTTTATGTAAATATATATCAAACGTTATACTGTATTTGGAGGTTTGTATCTTTCTGACTAATTGTACCGATTATTATCAGATTTCCAAGTACAAACGACTCGTACTGGAACACCAGGACCAGCATCAGAAAGAAAAAGAAAACGGAGAGACCGCTGAACACAAAAGGTAAGAATACTTTTCGTGTTTAAATATTAAATCACACTAGTCATAAGTAAAACATACCGTACTAATCACTATGTATTTGTATGATCCTTTAAAGACTTTCAAAGTTGGTGATGATTAAGCATTAACAAAGAACCATCCCAAAATTGAGTTGGGCCAATAATAAAATTCCTCACAAACGAAGGATCAAATCAAAAGGAAATTCGTCTTTTCTGACTGATGTACATGGCGATTCATGTGGAGTTAGTGTCTTGTAAGATCTAAAGAGGCATGGTTCAGAATATACTCGCGTATTTGATGTTCTTTGAAATTATAAAAAAAAAATAGGAATTTATTGAATCCTGATGCACCTTCCCATCAACATTTTGACATTTATTTTGAACAATTATTTAGCTCTAGTTTATCTAATTCGAAATTTGTATTGCAAGGCAATATTCACTCGTATGTCTTTTATATAGTATTCGAGATATCATGTTGTAGACACTGCTGATGGACTTTTAATCCCATGAAGTTTGCCATAACCTGCATGTCCTCTTATCAACAAAATGGCTCAGAATATATCATGTACTATTTGATAAATTACGAAATGTATGTAATCATGGTGTAAGGGTATCTCCAAACCTTTAATTTGACATTTCTTCCGATCAATCAGGCTTTTTCTCAGTTGCCTCCTAGTCTCAAAACTTAGGCCCTTAGCATCACTGATGAGTTCTAGAAGGACGAAACAGCTGTATGACAGCATCACTGACGAGTCTTAGAAGGACGAAACAGCTGTATGACAGCATCACTGACGAGTCCTAGAAGGACGAAACAGATGTATGACAGCATCACTGACGAGTCCTAGAAGGACGAACCAGATGTATGATACAGCTCAGTTTATATTATGTACCTATTGTACAATTGATATATTTTGCAGCCTGTTCAAAATGGCGAGTAATGCCCAGTAACTGTGGTGAAATAGTTTTATCCTGCAGTTTGGTTCAAATGGGGTCCGCCAAGACATGACCAGTTTTTGCGTGTTGAAGTAATTTGTTATATTCTACAATCTGTCCAGTTTGTGTAACTGTAGTGGTTTTGTTTGTTATATTCTACAGTCTGTCATAAATGGTGTCCCCAAAGTCATGTCCAGTTTGTGTAACTCTGAAGTGGTTTTGTTTGTTATATTCTACAGTCTGTCATAAATGGTGTCCCCAAAGTCATGTCCAGTTTGTGTTGTAACTGAAGTATTTTGTCGTATTCTTACAGTCTGTCCAGGACAGTGTCCGTCATGACATGACCAGTCTGTGTTGTAACTGAAGTATTTTGTCATATTCTTCAGTCTGTCGCGGACAGTGTCCGTCAAGACATGACCAGTCTGTGTTGTAACTGAAGTATTTTGTAGTATTCTACAGTCTGTCCCGGACAGTGTCCGTCAAGACATGACCAGTCTGTGTTGTAACTGAAGTATTTTGTCGTATTCTTACAGTCTGTCGCGGACAGTGTCCGTCAAGACATGACCAGTCTGTGTTGTAACTGAAGTATTTTTGTCATATTCTTCAGTCTGTCGCGGACAGTGTCCGTCAAGACATGACCAGTCTGTATTGTAACTGAAGTATTTTTGTCATATTCTTCAGTCTGTCGCCGACAGTGTCCGTCAAGACATGACCAGTCTGTGTTGTAACTGAAGTATTTTTGTCATATTCTTCAGTCTGTCGCGGACAGTGTCCGTCAAGACATGACCAGTCTGTATTGTAACTGAAGTATTTTTGTCATATTCTTCAGTCTGTCGCCGACAGTGTCCGTCAAGACATGACCAGTCTGTGTTGTAACTGAAGTATTTTTGTCATATTCTTCAGTCTGTCCCGGACGGTGTCCGCCGAGTCAGGAGACCGTGCGTGGGAAGAAATGCTGTCAATTCTACAGGTGGACATGGACTTTCTCAGTCGGAAACAGGCGGTCCTGGACAAGGAGCAACAAATGTTGGACAAAGAGGAGTCCTTGTCACAACGACAGAAGGAGCTAGAGGAGTACGAGAAGGAGGTAAATAACACAAAGCCTGGTAGTTATCAGACTTGTAGGTTCTTAGAGGTACCTTTTTTTACATGGGTTTCTTCTTCCAACCGTTCTGAACACATCGCTTAGCACGTAGATAACCGATGTGGCCAGCAAACTCCAGGAATTCGAGAGAACTATGTGAATTTGTATTTAAAATATTAGTGTGTTTAATTCAGTTTTTCATAAACCTGTTATTTGGGCTCAAACTATATTTTCAAACTGAGGAGTTAGAATGGGGTAGGTTCTATATATACTGCCAGTTTCCGTTTTAATGAGGACAGAATGCATGTACATGTGTTTTAAACTTTTGATTAAGCGTTCGCGCTTACTTCTTGACACAAAAAAAAAACATCCAAAAACCTGATAAGAAAGATCAGACATCGGGCGATCCTACATCTTTTGTATCGCGAGTGTGCACTCAAGGGAAATGTTACGTAATTTAGCGGTGAGAAACATTGTGGTCCTTATGATGTATGATCATTGACATAATGATCTATTTTAATCCGTATTACATAGGTTATCTATAAGGAACGGATATAAAATCCGGCAAATATCAGGATAGTGCAGATGTCATGTAATCAGTTTAGTGTATCTAAGATATGTATGCTTGCTTTTCAGGTCAACGAGATAGAAAGAATGTTGGACAGGAGACAAAACCTGTGTAACAAGCGTCAGAGAGAGCTAGCAAGTCTTGACGACGTAAGGTTTAAAATATTGCAGAAAATATTTTAATCACGTCATTGACGCTGACATGTCTACTTCTGAAGTTATAAATCAATTTAAAGAATCCCAGCTGGATTGATAATGAATAAGAAATCATACATTGATAAATACACGCCTATGCTAGTTAAGTCAATTTAGGGTTTAACCACGACGTAATTGACAAAGAAAATATTTTTTTGTTGTTTTTCATTATTTGAATAAATATTGTATCAACCTTTGAAAAAAAATGTTTCCCCTTAGTAGATAAGAAATTAATTGGTTATTGGACCAACTTTGAAGTGTAATTTCTACCTTACAGATAACACGGTATTTTTTAAGTTTACACACACTGCAAGACTTATCAATGTACAATACAAAACACAATAGTGTTCGTTACATCGAAAAATATTGCACGATGAACACTGCTCTTAAGCATTGAAATGTTGGAAGATACTGGCATTTTCTAGCAAAATCATCTGTTCGTTTGACTTGACCAGAAAAAAAAAATTTATTCAGGATCAAGATTATTTCCAACTGTTATGACGAACTTGCACGTGATGAAGTTTTCATTGTGAAGATAAGAACATATATATATAGACCAATCTTGCCACATTTATTATTTTTATCCTCCGCCCAATGAAGTTGGTGGGGGATTATTCCGCATATCTTTAGAATGACTGGTTAGATTTTGATGAAACTTGGTTGGTACACTTGCTACCTTAATCCCTTGCCAAAGTTTGATTAACGGCAAATTCTGTGCATATTTAATGAGGTTGCTGTGACTTGATTGGTTGATTTCTTTAATCACTCTATTGGAATGCTTTCTGTAAATCATGTTATATGAAGGAATCATAAGAGGTTTAGGAAACTTGATAAGTAGACATATCTGTCGGTACCCTTACCGAATGCTTTCCGCATGCTATCTTTTGAAGGAACAAATGAATTTTGGTGAGACTTGCTTGGAAAACTTTTTACATAGTAATACCCTCATTCAAGTTCGGTCAACAGTGAGTTCCATGCGTATTTATTCGTGGTGCTCTTACCTGATTGGCTAGTCTTGGGATCGATTTCCATCGTTTCATTAACTAAAGCGTTAAATCGCGAGGACTGTTTGTCTAAATATAACTTTTTAGCACAGTCCGTTTGTTATCCAATGCATTCGCCATGTAACATCTTTGCACTTACGACACTAGTAAAATATAATCTGGGGCGTTTTTCATTGGCTGCGCCAGACAGTAATCGATTGTGATGTCATAATAACATTGAGGTTACGTCAAAAATTGAAAATATCTGTCCGTGTTTTATAAAATATATAAAATAAAATCCATTTAAGATCATATATGTATATATACACAGGAGCTTCTGGTGCTGAAGAGCGATATCAACACAACCAAAGATCAGTTAGAAACTCGTGGAATCAATACAGACGCGGCTTCTGATCGCGCCAAACATAACTGGTACGTACCTCACTATACATTGATCCTAATGAAAAACCAAATATGTAATGTATGCTTTAGAGCTATTAAGTAAACAGCTATACGGCGGCCAGTGTCAGTTTATACCGTAGTGACGTCTGTACACTGCAGTGATTTCTGAAGTTCATGGTATTCTTTACACAGTGGTGATTTTGACCTCACGACATACATTACATTAGTGATTTCAACCTCTTGAAATGTGTACTCTTGATTTCTAGAAGTAGTTGTAGATTTATCATATGACGTTTTCATCTTATTCTAAACAAAATGGATCCCCCATCCTCCCTTGTAATGACCGAAAAAGTCGTGCTTTCTTATCTGACTTTATATTTTTACTTTGTGCCTATCTTAGAATATCTTCATTCCATTGCTCTGATAAATATCATATATATGATTAAACATTTGGGGAAAACCATAAGAACTGAGAAAAAACACTTGTGAAAATTTTTGATAGAATGGTTAATGTTTTGTTTGTGGATAGTAAATGCTGTGCGAAGATGTAAGTATAGATGTTCTCGATTTTTTACGCTCACGTTTTAAGTGTTGATTATTCTCAAAGATTTTTGTTCCTCGGGAAGTCAAAGAACAATGTCAGTATGTTGTGCTTTTGTAGGAATTTTTTTTTCATTTATTTCCATAGCAAAAACATATATCATTATGCAGTGCACATATCCACATTATAAATCACATACCCTTTGTTTTCAATTGATTACGATCAATATTCATAAATCTGTTATCGCCATCGTCCATTAAATACTGGTATAATTTAAGAATTTTTGTTTAGTGTGTCTTTATTTTGTAATTCTATATTAGCAAGCAGAAACGATCAATTAAATTATTTTGCCATATCATTTTTGTTTTATTTCATCTACTTTCATATTGCTTTCAGTTCGACCATCTAAACATACCTTACATAATGCTTTCTGGAAACAATTTTTTCCTATTGATAAATCAACAATGTTCGTTCTAAGAAAGATTGGCTGGAAACTAAGTAAACTACCAGATCTTTTCTCAGTTCGAACTGATTTCTATTTCTGCATTGTATGTGTGCTGAATTACTTATATCCAGCTTAAATTTGAAGACCTATCTTAATTGATTGTGGATTATATGGAAAAAATCCTTACACTTTGCTTGTTGTTGCATCTATTTACAATCTTTTTCAAAGTTTTCCAAAAATAAGAAATAAATAAAAAGAAAACTGAGGTTCGATATGGTTTTTATGCAAATAAAGCTGGTTTTAACATTGGGAAATTTTACGAAATGTAAAAAAAATTGCTGTGACAAACTAAGATATCCGTTAGATGTTTTCTAAAGTACAAATTTCAAAACAGAAGTATCCATTATCATATTATTTCCGAAATAGTTTGACGATATCCATGGCAGAACATTGGATATCTGATAGGGATATCACAGAAGTCACATTTACAAAACACTAGGAACAAAGGTTCTTAAAAGATAGTAATATCCTGTGACACTGTAAAACGTATGTAGCGTACAAGTGGTGCTCAACGTGATTACTTTTCTAAAGGGACATCGTGAGGAAGAACCTGTTTGAGAAGCAGACATTTCTAGAGAACACAGTACAGAAGTACCGGACCGACCTGGCTACGGCACAGTCAAATATCACAAGTAAAGATATTCTACTCGTCAAACAGCAGCAAGAGGTATGACAAACTTTATCATGTTTATGAATTATGAATGCGTAAAGCCCATTTATGACACTTAAAATCTTTTAACCCCTTCTGAGTAAATATGCTTTCGAAACAAGTTTTCTAGTACAAAAGGTAGGTGCTATTCAATTCATCTGGCATCAATTCATTATTATAACTGTTTTATAAACAATCCACATGAAATAAAGCGTAAACGCATTTGATTTACTGACACGACGAAATTGACAGGAAAAACTGGGTTGTTTTTTCAAAATATAACTTTACTGATATCTTCTTCATTTCAAAATCAATTTGTTTACAAGATATATTTGGTAAACCCATTAACTATTTGTTATGATTTATAATAATTCTTTATAAACTTTGACAAAAAACGATAACATTGCATGGTACATTTCTACAATGCTATGCTGCAGATTGCTGATTTGAAGGACGAGATAAACAAGAAAACTATTAAAATGCATCAGCTGGAGACTCAACTGACTTTTACATTGGAAGAAGCCAGATCTTTGGAAAAGAAATTTCATCAAATATTACTACAGAGTGATTCTTCTATCATTATTAACAATCATCGTGAGCAGAGTCCATCAACAAGTCCACAAAAACGTTTGCTAAAACGAGACTCATCAAGGTCATTGCTTCAACGCGAGTCCAATTCTGCTGGTTCCCATGAGCGTCAAAGACCAGAAGAAACAGGAAAGACAGCAAACAACAATTTTACACGACATCATCCAAACTCCACTCAAAACAATCACGACACGGAACAAGATGTCAGATCAGCAATTCTGAACGGCAAAAGTGCATCATGTGTTGTTATGTAGGAAATCGTCACATCCTTTAATATAATTTTACGTCACAATAACGTCATAGTTAAAATCGCACCACCATTTTAGTAGCAATGGATTTAACTACTCAGCTATCGTAATTACTAGGTTACGTTGTATTGGGCATTTGATGTCTTGGTTAAAAATTGGAGTGCCTGTTTTGTAGCTAACGGCAATGTTTTATACGGTTAATGTTAAGGACATCGGGTTTTGTGTCTTACTGTATGAAAGATATCCCGGAAGGAGAGAGAGAGTGTGTATACTAAAGTGGAAATAAATAATTAATAAATGATATTTATGCAACTACCACAAAAATATTCTGATCTTTTGCTTTATCGTTGTATGAACAAAGACTGAACAGTTTGCAGCAATCGTTTTGTTCAGATCAGATCTTGAGAAAGTGTCATAATGTTTTGAAAGGTAGACTGATCTAGACCAAAGTTCAGAAGGTGTTTGGCGTTGTCTAATATTTCCACAGCATCTTCTGACAGGTAGGTCTGAAAATTTACAACCAATGATACAATAAAGTGATATCAGGGAAATCTACTTGATGATAAGAAAGAATGGCAAGTTTACCAATTCAATTTTTCATCTTTGCAGAAATTACAAAATTAAACATGTATAGTGGAATTCAATTACGAATTTATCACAGAAAGAATTCAATGTTAAGAACATTCGTGTAACTCGAACAGTATGTGACGTTTTGATGACTACACTGTCCCATTCATCAGACAAATTAACAGCGTGAAGCCTATTTGCACTGAAGTATAGAATGCACCAGATGATACTAAAATCACAGGACTTTTCTGCTTTATGTACACGCAGGTTAAAAGTAAGAGATGATGATATGATTACTATGAAAACTGGTCCCATTGGTAATCTTCCACATGTACACTACATGATAACCATGTACTATCCCGTGAAAGTCAATTTACACTAAATGGTTACAATGTAATATCCCTAAACACTGATCCATGCAGTAATCAAAACATCACATATAACTTTCCAATTAATCAAGATTAAAGAACATCTATTTCATCACAGAACAAATTTGAAAGTGTCACTCCTACCTTGATCTGGTCCTGATGTAAGTGTTTAATTAGAAGGAGGCAGCCTAGAGCACAGGAAGGCATTTCCAGTCTCTGATAATGTTTGGATAGGGAGAGCAGATCAATGTCCATCAGCACTGGACAACTATGTACAAAATAAAAATGGGGCGTGAGCAGGGAATCACATAGATATACCCCAACCAGCAAGTCAGTGTTCATCAGGGGCTCACATAGATATACCCCAACCAGCAAGTCAGTGTTCATCAGGGGCTCACATAGATATACCCCAACCAGCAAGTCAGTGTTCATCAGGGGCTCACATAGATATACCACAACCAGCGAGTCAGTGTTCATCAAGGGCTCACATAGATAAACCCCAACCAGCAAGTCAGTGTTCATCAAGGGCTCACATAGATAAACCCCAACCAGCAAGTCAGTGTTCATCAAGGGCTCACATAGATATACCACAACCAGCAAGTCAGTGTTCATCAGGGGCTCACATAGATATACCCCAACCAGCAAGTCAGTGTTCATCAAGGGCTCACATAGATAAACCCCAACCAGCAAGTCAGTGTTCATCAAGGGCTCACATAGATATACCCCAACCAACAAGTCAGTGTTTATCAAGGGCTCACATAGATATACCCCAACCAACAAGTCAGTGTTCATCAGGGGCTAACACAGATATACCCCAACCAACAAGTCAGTGTTCATCATGGGCTAACAAAGATATACCCCAACCAGCGAGTCAGTGTTCATCAGGGGCTAACACAGATATACCCCAACCAGCAAGTCAGCGTTCATCAGGGGCTAACACAGATATACCCCAACCAGCGAGTCAGTGTTCATCAGGGGCTAACAAAGATATACCCCAACCAGCAAGTCAGTGTTCATCAGGGGCTAACACAGATATACCCCAACCAGCAAGTCAGCGTTCATCAGGGGCTAACACAGATATACCCCAACCAGCGAGTCAGCGTTCATCAAGGGCTCACATAGATAAACCCCAACCAGCGAGTCAGTGTTCATCAAGGGCTCACATAGATTAAACCCCAACCAGCGAGTCAGTGTTCATCAAGGGCTCACATAGATAAACCCCAACCAGCGAGTCAGTGTTCATCAAGGGCTCACATAGATAAACCCCAACCAGCGAGTCAGTGTTCATCAAGGGCTCACATAGATAAACCCCAACCAGCGAGTCAATGTTCATCAAGGGCTCACATAGATAAACCCCAACCAGCAAGTCAGTGTTCATCAAGGGCTCACATAGATAAACCCCAACCAGCAAGTCAGTGTTCATCAAGGGCTCACATAGATATACCCCAACCAGCAAGTCAGTGTTCATCAAGGGCTCACAAAGATATACCCCAACCAGCAAGTCAGTGTTCATCAAGGGCTCACATAGATAAACCCCAACCAGCAAGTCAGTGTTCATCAGGGGCTCACATAGATATACCACAACCAGCAAGTCAGTGTTCATCAGGGGCTCACATAGATATACCACAACCAGCAAGTCGGTGTTCATCAGGGGATCAAACAGATATACCCCAACCAGCAAGTCAATGTTCATCAGGGGCTAACATAGATATACCCCAATCAGCAAGTCAGTGTTCATCAGGGGCTAACATATATACACCCAAACCAGCAAGTCAGTGTTCATCAGGGGCTAACATAGATATACGCCTACCAGCAAGTCAGTGTTCATCAGGGGCTCACATAGATATACCCCTACCAGCAAGTCAGTGTTCATCAGGGGCTCACATAGATATACCCCAACCAGCAAGTCAGTGTTCATTAGGGGCTCACATAGATAAACCCTCACCTGGAAGTAAGTGGGTCATCAGGGGCTCACATAGATATACCCTAACCAGCAAGTCAGTGTTCATCAAGGGCTCACATAGATAAACCCCAACCAGCGAGTCAGTGTTCATCAAGGGCTCACATAGATAAACCCCAACCAGCGAGTCAGTGTTCATCAAGGGCTCACATAGATAAACCCCAACCAGCGAGTCAGTGTTCATCAAGGCCTCACATAGATAAACCCCAACCAGCAAGTCAGTGTTCATCAAGGGCTCACATAGATAAACCCCAACCAGCAAGTCAGTGTTCATCAAGGGCTCACATAGATATACCCCAACCAGCAAGTCAGTGTTCATCAAGGGCTCACATAGATATACCCCAACCAGCAAGTCAGTGTTCATCAAGGGCTCACATAGATAAACCCCAACCAGCATGTCAGTGTTAATCAGGGGCTCACATAGATATACCACAACCAGCAAGTCAGTGTTCATCAGGGGCTCACATAGATATACGCCTACCAGCAAGTCAGTGTTTATCAGGGGCTCACATAGATATACCCCAACCATCAAGTCAGTGTTCATTAGGGGCTCACATAGATATACCCCAACCAGCAAGTCAGTGTTCTTCAGGGACTCGCATAGATTAACCCTAACCTGGAAGTAAGTGGGTCATCAGGGGCTCACATAGATAAACCCTAACCTGGAAGTAAGTGGGTCATTAGGGGCTCACATGCATAAACCCCAACCTGCAAGCAAGTGGTCATTGTTATACTGTGATAATTTGTAACTATGATCAGAAGTTCATGAGGCACAAGAGCTGATTGATAAGTTGCGAGCCTCATATTTAAGGGTTTGACTTTCGGCAGACATATTTCATTAATTACTTTCTACTTACTTATAGGTAGGAAACAATGCCTAATACTTGAGCATTTTATGTGTTTTCTTTCTTTTTCAGCCCCCAAAAGTATCTGTGCACATTACACAAGTTTTTACGGTACCAAGTCTGACATGATATAACCACTGAGCAATGTTAAAAGTAGGAAAATATCTTTATGTATAATATAAGTACAATCACGAAGTAACAAAATAAAAAGATTTACCCGTAACTAAACACTTTAACGCAAGATCACAAGTTCAGTATTTTTTTTCAAATGTGTTAATCTCAGATAAATGATAGATGATAGTTACAGTTTTGAAACAGACGAATATCATGATAATTCCTTAGGAGTTTTGATATGGAATAGAAAGTACTTACTGTAGGATGAGGTTGAAGTAGCGAACACACAGCTCTGTTTGGCTGGTAGTCAGAGGGACTGCAACTGTGACAAAAGATATTACATTGACAAAACATTACCTTAGTGTGACACTTGAAGATGTTCAAACAATAAACCTTACAGTATTTGATCATGCCAATAAAAAGAGCTACTGTATTTTGAAGAAAATTGGTGTTAATACAATGTTCACAAGCAGATATCGAATGTATGATAATGATTTCAAAACAAGTATCTAATTTATTATCAAATGAAACAATCCTCCATTATACAATAATACACTGACTGATGTAAAATTTTGGGAATGCATTAGAGAAGATATATAGAAATACCCTTAGTTAAGGGAGTAGAAAGAACGGTCTGCCAAAGGCTTGGCAGGATAGTTATCTGTCTCATCTTGACCACACTCGCCAACCTCCGTATCACATACTCCAAGGGAGACAACTTCAACAAAGAAAATAAACTCATTAACATTCACAAGAACGTTTGAATAAAAAGTTAACTTAAAAAAAAAAAATCAGTTGGGGTGATACATATTCGAATGGTTGACAGGACCAAGTTTCCATTGTATGGTCTTAGGAAAAAACTTGTCTTCTCCGAAATTTATACACAATATCTGTTTAAAATAATGACAGTCATTTTTCATGATGAACTAAAACTACTCTTGTTAACTCACCAGTTGGAATGAGTGTAGTTGCTGCAGTACACTAGTCCAGAGCTGGAGATCATGTATGTTGTAGTCGAGGCACAAAGATGCTACCAGAAGGGCTGCCTGTAAAAGAACAATACAATCAGCTGAATTAGTTCTGATCTAAGTAAATGACAGCTTTTTCACACAGCATACTATAGATAATTTAGTTTCAGATATGGTTGATGAGATACAACACATAAGAACTCCATTCACATCTAAATTGTCTTAACTTGACTTGCAGATTAGTTGTAATTTTCTCCATCTATTATGTACAACAAACTACAGATAACAAAAAAATAAACAGTCCAATTGCTCCATGTCATATAATTTCCATTATTATGATATAACTTGGTTATGATATGATGCTCAGACTGGTAATTTAATGTTACACTGTCAGAGAACTTTGTCTATAGGTTGAATGTATTACTGTTTTCTGATGGCGATGATTTCTCCAGATTCCTTTGATAAGACCCTCTTTGTTAGCCTCCTCAAAGCTCTGCACTGTGTGGAGGATGTGTAGATTTTCCAGGTCCACCAAGTACAGCATCATCCTCATCATATGTCTGTAATAAACATCAGCTGACATCAGGAAATATCAACGAAGGATACTGCAACTCCACTAACAACAGGACAATAATTCATATTGACCTTTGACTTTAAAAATCATCAGGCATTATCGTTTCATGAAGGCGGAAAAGTTTTTCAACCTCCATCAGGCACATGGAACATGCAGACATATTTCACACAGATGGTAATAGGAATGGACAGTCATAATGATATATCGTCTCTACAACTGGCTGCCTGTGATTAGGACAAATTTAATTTCATATGAGAGTGTGTCTATACTTTTGTCCTGTAATAGCGAACATGTCAGATTTGACAGTGACTTACCTCACTTGATCCAGAGATTTATGAAACAGTTTCTGTACAGCAGCTTTATCTCCTATCTGTAGAAGACAGCGTAGTGCTCGCACACGACACATATTAGTGATGTTACATGCTTCATCCATCTTCTTTTCCTGTCAAAAACACATCAGATAAAATCAGTACCTGTATAAGCCAAGAAAACTTCGCAAACCCAATAAGAGGTGAAATTGGCCTGAATTACTCACCTCTGTCAGTTAAAGAACAGAATAAAATGTACCTTGTTACCAGGATATATATAATTCATGTGATTACTGGTAAATCTAGCTTGTTTAGGTGGACCCCAATATCATGTTATATCATAAACTTTGTACAGATTTTACTCAATACCTTTATAGTTAAATATTACCTTCTGTCAACTAAAAAAAAAATTAAAAAAAAAAAAAATTTAAAAAAAGATCTGAACACATTTAACTCCTGTTACATTTAAAGAGGTCAAGGTGATTCATTAATGAAAACCATGGTAAGTGTTCTTCATCATCAGGACCCAAGGCCTTTTGGTTATTGAGAAGTTGTTCAAATGGAAAAGTTCCCGCAACATAAGCTCACTTGACGTTTGGGCAGGTGAGCTAAAAAGTGTTTGACAGAAGTGACAGAAATAATAAGGATCCTTACCTTGAAAGCGAACTCGAACAGGAACATGACATTCTTCTCTGTTGTTCCTCTCTGTAGTATATACAGCACTCTAGAATGAAAACACTAATTATTTGACATACTTCAAAAGTTTTTACTGCAAGCAGAAGAGTTCCAGCTGATATGCTCATTAAACATCCAGAGTCACACACCAATATTCTCTTACCCTAATCTTTAAGTATCAGAGAACACCTTATAACTAGCTTAAGCTTTAATGGAAATAAGGTTAGATACTATTACTAAAATAAGAAATATATCTGAACCCCAGCATCACACAAAACACTGGCCTTGTGTGTTATACTTTGGCAGCCCCAAACAGATAATGGTGGACTTTCCTGGAGTGGTATCAAGTAATACTCATTACAGATACAGACCTTCGAAGATTAGCATCCTCATCGTCATCATCTGCCGATATCATTGTCTCATCTCCCAGGTTAAGTTGATCAAAACTAAATGTCACAGTCTGAAAAGAAATCCATCCATGAAAATACAAATATTAACTATTGAATATGATTCTATTACTATTTCAAATCATACCAAGATTTTAATTGAAAAACAGTGTAAGCAGGGACTCGCATTGATATACTACAAACCCCCTCATTTTCTTCATTCTGATCTCAATCAATTGAGAGGGGTTAATTCATAAAGGGGTTTCTGAGATATCTTGTATAAAAGGTTTTTATTTGAAAAATGGTCAACACTGAACCTTGGTCCTTGACTGATGACCACTAAACTATGATCAGGCGTAGACCTTAGTGAAATGATGTGATAGTGTGAATCTGATCTAGAAATGTTACAAGGTATATATTTGCAAAGGTCAAGGGCTATCTTTGACCTTGAACTTGACAGATGAACACAACTATCTATTCAGTTGTAAATCTTGGTAGGGTGAAGCTAAGGTGTGAAATTCTCAGAAGGTTTAGGAGATATCTTGCACAAAAGATTCTTATTTGAAATATGGTCAACAGTAATGATAAGGACAAACACTTGCTTTGCTAGATGAACAAAAGAATGCTATTAAATGACTTATGAAGTCACTCACTGACCAATATTTCAGGAAAGATTCATAAATGTATAGCAAGAAGCAGTAACTTACTATGCATCGTACATCAATGCTGAATTTCATGTGTTATAAACTGAAATACAACTAAACCTAAGACACATTAATTTTACAATAAGTATGAAATGAACAAATAACATATTAAATTGCATAATACTTATGAACCCCGGTTAATGTTAAAATACTTCTGAGTTAATTGATTTGTAACGACCCAATGACCTGAGCTTTCTTGACTGATTTTACTGTATTCCCAACAAAATAAGTATTTGTACCGAGTCTTGGCCTCCCTGTCTGGATTTTACAGATGGCAACCATCTATACAGTAGATTAAGACGAAGCTGTTCCAGATCTACGTTATGGATACTGGCAATGTCCTCTGCAATTTTGTGGATATCTGTAAAAAATATTTTGTCAACATGAATATTACATCAGAACACAAAACGGTGTCAACAAGCCAAGCCTTACTTTATTAGGAAATGGATTCAAATTTAATTTTTCTGACATGGAACTAAATCAATGAACCAGAATATAGCCCTAAAATCTTACCTGGTTTATCCTTTTCTGCTATTTCCTGGTTGACAATACTGTTGTGTTCGTACAACTTGAGAAGAAGTTTGTTGGGATTGCCAGCCAGTGATACGAGTTCTGGTTCGCCCACTTTGTATACAAAGAGAACCTGTTCTGTTGCTAATCTCTGCCACATCCCAGTAAACTTCACAAAGGCATTCATAGCTTTTTCTTTTTCTGCAGTCTACCATCGATATGATTCGATAACAAAAGAATTTCAGATCTTAACATAATGGATGATGAAAAAAAACATTTAAATTGTTGTAGGTGAAATATAAGGGGTGTGGGATGTATACTTAGGAGTTATAAGCTTTTCAATAGCAGATAAGTAAAAATTGTGGAAATATTTGAAAATAAAATGCTGAATTTCAACATAAAATTCCAGCAGCATCATTTCAGGACCTGTTATGAATATATATGCAGGATGCCTACTTATGGAATTATAAGAGTGAAGAAACTTACCCAATAAATATTCTGTTGTGGAATGAGAATGTCAAGTGAACACTATAAGCTTACAAGGACTCCTAATTGGTGAACTAATGACCTTAACCTTGTCTATATTACACTGTGATCCTACCTGGTCTTTTACTTATATGTGCCACAGCTCGGCCCAAAAAATACACCACAATGGGGTTTATACTAATGTTACCTTGTCTTTCACAGCTCTGTGCCACAACTCAGCATAGCGGATACATCCTTGTAGTGCCTCTACTTTCTCCGCACCTGTAACACAAACTCAGTTTGATGAGTTCCATATAATCGAGCATACAATAGAAATTGTGCTTCCTTTAAATCCCAACATATATACTGATGTTTACCCCTAATGACATTTGTTTATTAATGAATACTACATCTAAAAGAAATGTACTGAGGTACCTCTTAGAGAGGTTAAATTTTTTTGCATTACTGATATTTTAATTTTATCCAATAATTACCAACACTCAACTTCAAACACAATATTTAACTCAATACAAAACAAATTCACAATAAAAGAATGTCATATTTGACAGGAAGAGGTATTTGTTCCTTGTATAAATAAACCCACAACCATGCAATTAAAAGTCCATTTAATGTACAGACACATTAGAGGAATTTTTCAAATGTGAATGATATATTTTAGGATTTTGATGGATTTGCTTTAGCCAACTAAACTAATGATGCTTCACCCAAAATATGCACTTACAGTTTTGTGGTGTTTTATTTAAAGTATCGTTTGAAATTTTGATAGTAGAAGTTACTAGTAACCTAATCAAGCAATGAATGGCAAAGTCCAGGTATCCAAATCATGATAATTTGATACAATTATGTCTGATTTCTCCAAGTCAATTCTCAAAAATAACTATCAATTGATTTGACAAGATAATAGATAATCATCACTCCCTTGTCTTATTACTGTATATATTACCTACCTAATGGGAGTTCTTTCACCATCCAGCTGGCACAGGCCAAGGCCAGCTCACACTTGGACACATTCCTCAACAGTACCTGGACATCACTGAGCAGTGACAGGTTGGCATCTCTCACATTCCAGTTCCACAAACTTTTGTCCACGATAGCTGTACTGCCTTGTGTTGGTTTCTTGGTCAGCTGAACATGTTTTCGTACCATGTTTTGGACTGTCACAAGGTAGATCTGGTCCGCAGATAACTAAGTAAGGAGAAAGCTTGTATTAAAAGACCTTTAAGGATAACACCAAACTTTTCATTTTCGTCAATAATTTGCCAGGTTTTCTAAAACATAAATTCAACAGAAGTGTGTGAATAGCCTAAATGACAAACATTAGGTAATCAATTCAGAAAAAAATATATATCCTGATAAGGTCAAACTAAACACAAGTGTATTTTGTGAAAATAAAATTTAAAGCATTCATTTAGGAGTACAGATGTACTGTAAAATCCTTAATTTTCATGGGGATTTATTTCCTTTCATTTCTTTGGTATGCTTAATCTATGAACTCATTTGTCTTAGCATTGTTAAGTTTGTATATGTAATTTAATTGAGCTATACTTTTCCTAAAAATCAAATATCCAAGGAATAGCGGTTTTCTAAAAACTACAAAATTGAGTCCCACAATATATGAATTTAGAGTATGGAAGATATAAACTGGTATCAAAAATAGATGTTTTAAGGAAGGACTATGAAGTTTGATTACAAAAATGTAACTGTTCACTTGAAATGTTGTTACAAGCCAGAACTTTTTGTAAGGACATTAACTGTATAAAATTTGGTCTGAGAAAAGCAACTGATAAATTTTATTCATCATTCAGTTTCCAGTTTACCTTCAACAGGTCGGCAATAGGCAGCCAAGTTGGTACAGTCTCTTTCTCCAGTTCTGGTGCTGAACACAAAATACATATGTCTTCAAAATGCTTACTGAACATAATACTGTACACTGGCAAATGTTTGCAAGTTTAGCGACCCTTTCAAAATTGCAAAATATGCATGTTTTCTTTTTATTGTAGATGTGTCATACATCTATAGAGCTGACATACCTACATGTACCTGAACACTTTCTAGTTGTGAATACTTCTATCATAGATAAACACTAGTTGGTATGTAAATCTCTAATCTAGTATGACTTGTAAGTTCTCCAGTCAATGTCAGAATCTACACTGGAATATATGTAAGGTATGTCAATTTTGAGGTATTCTGAGTCTTCAAAAGAGGCCTTTCAAATTTCAAATGAAATCGCATAAAATTTTGCGAAAATTGCACAGAGCAAAAATATCCCAATAGACAGTATGACATACAACATTCAAATTTTATTAGTTTTGTTTTTTATGGGGTAAAGTGACACTTAAATGTACAAGGACCAAAAGAAATTAATGACAATAGATTAGTCTGCTGTCAGTATCCATCTATTATTCTATTGAATCTTTCATAAAGACTTCTTTCTACTCCACAAATGCACCATACATAAACAATTGTGTAAAATATGTTATTTAAGTGAAAACAATAATAGATTGTGGAGGTTGACAGCAAACAAAGGGAAGTAGAACATTTCTGATGTTGTAGATACAATACTGAGCGCTGAGACTCCACTTTAAGGCTTCCGTTACATTCAAGTTGATTTATTATAAAATGGACTCACTGATGATTTTCCATGCCTCTCCCTCATTGAAGGGATGAAGTGGAAGTCTTGTCTTACTGTTTGGCGGCAGCATGTCCATGATGATCCTCAGCTGTTAAAAATACATGGACCAATCAAATCCATTGTCCATTCAAGTATTCACTTACTGAAACACTGAACTCTTTGATTCCTGATTCAACAGTGGAAAGAGAAGGATGAAAATAGGAACATAATTCTCTGTACGTGACAATATAAATACTTACATCTTCCTTGTCTCCATCAGGCTGGTATCTTAACTCATACTCCGATGGAGGTTTACGCCGTATGTACACTTTTAGGTAGCTTAACAGCTTCAAACTCTGTCGATAGAATGTTACTTTTTCAAAACAAAAATTTATATCTAAAACACTTATGTAGTGATATCTAATAAAACATGCTGATTAATAACAACATGGTGATTACATTTTTGTACATTCAGAGTCAATTAATGTTTCAATTAAATATGCATGTGATCAAATGTTGCCAAGTCTCGTGTTCTGCAGTACTGATCCATAAGACTCAGGATTCATGTGATAATAGACTAAAAACATTTTATAAATATGTCACCTGTGTCTATATAAAACATGCATTACTTACTGTTTCTCTTTGTGTATCTCGGTCTAAATTCTGCATTTCATTTAACAGAAATTCTAATGTCTCATAGTCATAAGCATCAGTCTGAAAAAATGTAAAATAAAAATGCGAACATCTCACTATAAACATTTCTGGGTAATGGAAATACATGTAAACACCGAGTACCGTCTCAAACTTTCTACAGGAAAGCAAACAGCATGTCATTATAATACAACCTACAAAGTTTAAAACTAATTGGGTGAGGGTAACTCAGGGTAACTCAAAAGAGATTGAAATACTACAGGAAAGCAAACTGCATGTCATTATAATAAAACCTACAAAGTTTAAAACTAATTGGGTGAGGGTAACTCAGGGTAACTCAAAAGAGATTGAAATACTCAGATAAAAAAAAAAAAGAAAAAAACAGAGAGGCGGAGAAGGGCAATTATATGCTGAATCAAATTCTTTGTATAACAAACAAAACATTTTTCCATGGATGCTAGTTTTGGACAATCTTATTCTGCTTACAGGGAAGCAGACAGTTCATAATCATGCTACTTACAACACTGTAAGTTAATGATTTAAAGTAAAGGTGTAAAATTCTAAGTTTATTGAGTGGTTTTTTTGTGCTTTTTACCTTACAGTCAAAAACCTTATCTACTGTCATGGGTCTTCAGATGGCTATACTCGTACTACACACACAAAATACACATCACAACACCTATATTGTAACGTGTATTGTATAGTGTTAGTAGCTGATACACAGGCCTAGTTAGTACAGGACATCCTAGAGCATTTGCAACCATTTAAGAAACTACAATTGGTGGGGATGGACTTATTCCTTGAGAAAGGATGACTTGCAGAAAACATAAAATATGTTGTCCTCTGTTCCAAGTTAACAAATATAAATCTCTGATAGTATCTATTGTCATCTGTCACAACTCAGCTGTAACAATGTAGGTCTCTTACAGTATTTGTTGTCCTATGTCCCCACTTAGCTGTAACTATATAGATCTAAGACATTATTTGTTGTCATCTGTCTCACCTCAGCTGTAACAATGTAGGTCTCAGACAGTATTTGTTGTCCTATGTCCCCACTTAGCTGTAACTATATAGATCTAAGACATTATTTGTTGTCATCTGTCTCACCTCAGCTGTAACAATGTAGGTCTCAGACAGTATTTGTTGTCCTATGTCCCCACTTAGCTGTAACTATATAGATCTAAGACATTATTTGTTGTCATCTGTCTCACCTCAGCTGTAACAATGTAGGTCTCAGACAGTATTTGTTGTCCTATGTCCCCACTTAGCTGTAACTATATAGATCTAAGACATTATTTGTTGTCAACTGTCACAACTCAGCTGTAACAATGTAGGTCTCTTAAAGTATTTGTTGTCCTATGTCCCCACTTAGCTGTAACTATATAGATCTAAGACATTATTTGTTGTCAACTGTCACAACTCAGCTGTAATTATGTAGGTCTCTTACAGTATTTGTTGTCCTATGTCCCCACTTAGCTGTAACTATATAGATCTAAGACATTATTTGTTGTCATCTGTCTCACCTCAGCTATAGATAAATTAGTAACTTACAGTATTTGTTGTCATCTGTCTCACCTCAGCTGTAACAATGTAGGTCTCAGACAGTATTTGTTGTCCTCTGTCTCACCTCAGCTGTTGATCAGTTTGTCCCACACACCACTTGTTGTTAATCATGTTGGTCTTTTGTAGTGAATGTGCCATGTCTAAGACACACCACTTCTCATAGACCTGTTTATTGTACATGCCTAAGACGAACTGCAAATTGACCTGGACATGACAGCTGGGCTTAACTATGGCATGTGTAGTGTGGGGTACAAAGTGACAACAACCGATTATGTGAGACATCAAACCTTTTACCATTCATCATCGACCAATTACAGTGATTCAGTGCCTCTCCTATCTTTAGCACTAAGGGGAACAGAAACTGTCATGTCTTCAATAGCTTAGCAATTCAGTGTCTGTCGTGTCTTCGGAGGCTTAGAAATTCAGTGTCTGTCATGTCTTCAGTGGATAAGGAATTCTGTATTTGTCATGTCTTCAGTGAATTAGGAATTCAGTGTCTGTCGTGTCTTCAGTGAATTAGGAATTCAGTGTCTGTCGTGAATTTAGTGGTTTAGGAATTTAGTAACTATCATGTATTCAGTAATTTAGGAATTCAATAGCTGTCAAAAATTAACAACTAAATGGTACGCAAGTTATACAATCTAAATTTTGTTGGAAAGCAAAAAAGTTGTAAAAAGGGGTGGAACAGATATTTTGTAGTCGATACACTGGTGGCTCCAGTGTCATTATTCTAACCTAACTTTGTTGTTGGAAATATGAAACCCTTTACGAGAAAGTTTCATAAATCAATCTTGAAAATTCTGATTGAAAATAATATTGAAGTCGATGGTTGTAAATACCTTCTTGTAAATAGACTGGAGTTTGTTCAGCAAGACCTGTTCTTCACTGATTTCCCTTATGGTGGCATGAGCCTTAGCAAGGAGTGACCGTTTGGCCAAAACACCAAGAGTAACATGGTCTGGCAGGGTGAACATATGATCAAGGAAAAGCAGTAGGCCTTCATCCTGGTCAAGGTTGAAATCACTTAATGAAAATTAAAAAAAAAAAACACTGTGAAGTTTTACAACAGTTACATGTAAATAACACTATAGAGTATACTGTACAGAGTTTAAGTCGGTGTCTAGTATACACACAATTACAGGGTTTAAGTCAGCGTCTAGTATACGCACAATTACAGGGTTTAAATCAGCGTCTAGTATACAGACAATTACAGGGTTTAAGTCAGTGTCTAGTATACACACAATTACAGGGATTAAGTCTGTGTCTAGTATACACACAATTACAGGGATTAAGTCAGTGTCTAGTATACACACAATTACAGGGTTTAAGTCAGTGTCTAGTATACACACAATTACAAGGTTTAAGTCAGTGTCTAGTATACACACAATTACAGGGTTTAAGTCAGCATCTAGTATACACACAATTACAGGGTTTAAGTCAGTGTCTAGTATACACACAATTACAGGGTTTAAGTCAGTGTCTAGTATACACACAATTACAGGGATTAAGTCTGTGTCTAGTATACACACAATTACAGGGTTTAAGTCAGTGTCTAGTATACACACAATTACAGGGTTTAAGTCAGTGTCTAGTATACACACAATTACAGGGATTAAGTCAGTATCTAGTATACACACAATTACAGGGTTTAAGTCAGTGTCTAGTATACACACAATTACAGGGTTTAAGTCAGTGTCTAGTATACAGACAATTACAGGGTTTAAGTCAGTGTCTAGTATACACACAATTACAGGGTTTAAATCAGTGACTAGTATACACACAATTACAGGGTTTAAGTCAGTGTCTAGTATATACACAATTACAGGGTTTAAATCAGTGTCTATTATACAGACGATTACAGGGTTTAAGTCAGTGTCTAGTATATACACAATTACAGGGTTTAAATCAGTGTCTATTATACAGACAATTACAGGGTTTAAGTCAGTGTCTAGTATACAGACAATTACAGGGATTAAGTCAGTGTCTAGTATACACACAATTAGAGGGTAATCTAGTACATGGCCAGTTACAACCTACAGCAAGTGTTTTAGTATAATCACATGATACCACCTACCTACAGAAGTCCTTTACAAGTGACATGTGTGCAGCCTCACACTGGGCAATCAGTGGCAGGAGTTTGATCTTCTCTGATGATGGTTTTTGGAAAGCTTCCTTGAAACTAATCTAGAAAAGGTGGTAGTTGTAAGTTACCAGTCTTAATGAATCCTGCTGCCATATTTATATATATTTATACTGACTTCCAAATGAAACAAAAATGAAAAGCTGTATATGAATATAGCAATTTCTCAAAAATAAAAAAACTTTTCTATCCTTCCAGTTTAATACATATATTTCATACCTTGATTTTCCCAAGTCGGCAGCCCCATGTAGCATTTTTCTCGAGAGTTTCACACATTTTTATCAAATTAGGTTCATGATGGAGCTGGCCAATTCCAATCCCAACCTTTGCTAGAGCCTGTAAACCAACATATCTGAGAAGTAACTACAAAGGCTTAATATAACTGTAACTGGAAAGGACTTGTGTGCTCTGCTGGGAATCAAATGGCCAAACACTTAATTACATTACTGACAATCTACTGATGAGCTAAAGGGGAATTCCCTTCAGCGTAAAGCTAGAAGAAAACTGTAACTATGTTAATCAAAACTACCACTCGAAGTCAATATCCATAAAGAGTTCAAAACTTATCACAGGAAATTTTAAAAAATGTAACTGAAAACAAAAACAGTTTTTCAAAAGGATTAATTCAAATAAGCATAACAGAAAAGTATAAAATCTAAACTCTTCCCCAAGAATAATAGCACACTTTGAATTGTATGAACTTTGAATTGCTGCGACAAGACATGGTTAAATCTAAGTATGTGCTAAACTGACCTTGAGTTTTTTGTAGTTGTGTCCTGTGGAGCGTATAATTTTCATCAATGACTCCTCTCCCTCCCGCTTTGTGCGGCTCGCCATGTACATCAGACCGAGGCTCTGATCAATGTCCTGACTATTAAAAATCTACAAGGCAAACAATGATTCACAAATACATTTCTCTGTCTAAATAATCATGTACACCTATCATCACATATAAGCTAAATCAATTATAAAAGTGCATAAAAGGGCTTTCTGCGCCAGAACAAATTTGTAAAATATACATATGTCCAAACACCTCTCATGGAAATTAGGTTAATTGCTAAATTTGACCAAATTTGGCTGGAAGGAAAATGTATGTAAAAGTGCACTTCATTTCAAACACTGACATAGTAAACATAAAGATGAATTTTCATATCATATAACATTTTTCTGCCAAGTCTTTGATTTACGTAATTAGACTGCATGGCAAATATTTCACTAGAAAATTTTAAATGAAAAAGAGTTGGATTACTTTTCTAGTTCCTGCATTTAATGGCAAAAATATGACATGAAAAATTTTTAAAGATATTCTAATTTTGATTTGTGAAATTTAATGATTTTGGGACTTGTATCATCATATTAAAGGACTTTAATACCATGGTAACCAAATGATACAAATAGATTAATGTGGCAGACTTAATTTCCCTACACTTGGCTTATGTGTACCTTCATCAGAATTGCTGTGACAATGGTCTTGATCCAAGGGTTGGCCATTGTCTCTATATCTCTTAGTTTGGCCTGCTGCTCCTCTGCCAGCTTTGAAAAATCCTGTAATAAATCAATATGTCAATTTTCATCACCTGATTGAAGGAGAAATATAACAGATATTATGAATGGACAGAAAGATAAATGGACAGATAATTTTGGTTTCTGCCCGCCAAGTGTAGCAAATAAGGAGGTGTAAATAATAAAATAGTTAGGAAATTATCACTCAAATTTTGCTATTAAAAATGACTGTATTTAGTAACAATTAGACCCAATTTTACAATGTGATATTTCATCTCCCTGGGATACATACATACAGTATGTGTTTAATGTCTATCCAGCAACCAGACAAACTAAGGCCATAGTTTAAACTATATTACAGTATAATATACACAGAAACACACATGTTTGTGTGGATGGAAGCCTTTAGACATCAAACTGATAAAACACATTACGTACATCAGTCCTGTATGGTGGTATGCCCATGTCAAACTGTGTAACATGTTCAGTGGAGCGTGACAACATGTGTATGGAGAATCGATAGGCTAACTCCATGTGACTGTTGTCTTTAAGATGTTGCAGGACTGGAATGATATGACGATGCATCCTCTGTATGGGTAACCCTGAGTCATTCTCCTCCTCCTCTGCACAACTGGCTTCTAACAACAAAACACCTCCAAATGTACTATTATTTCAAAGCAATATTTGAAATTCTGTTAACAAGAGGTCCAATGGGTCTGCATTTCTCACCTGGTATGCAATATTTTTCATAGATACATGTGTTATTGACATTCAAATTCATCTACATCAAATTTATTTAAACAAATTTTGAAAATGTGCAATGTAAACGTAAGTGTACAACTGAATGTATCCTGAAGTAAACTTCAGTCTGTAAAATTCATGGGCAGGGCAAATCATTGGAGTGTTGTTACGGTAATTCTATAGCTTACCTGGCTCACTTTGGGCCAAGTGAGCTAAAATATGTATGGATCTCTATTCCCCAACTTAGTGAGGAAATCACTGTCCACCTACATTACAGATGAAAGATAAAAATTCACCCTAAAGATGTCATGAAACTTTCGGATTGCAATTAAAACCAAATGTCTTATTATAGATATACAACCATGAACCATAACTTGAAAAACTTATCTGATGAACTACAAATTTAAATTTGTGAGTTTACAATAACTAAGTAATAATGCCTGGCCAAGCAATTTTTGGGATGAAAAAAAAACCCCAATAACTAGGTATGAAGTGGAGCTTATGTGACACTGCTACTCTAAGAGTGAAGTGGAATTCTCCAATAGCTTTTTTAGCATTTTAGGTGATTCAAATGTACAATATAAGCTCTAGTTAAAGTGAGGGGCTGATGGACCGAGTACAAACCTTATATTGCCAATGGTTGTACCTATTGTAATTATAAAGACCCCAGAGTTGTGTTATTACAATATCAGTAACACCTACCTTGTTTAGCCAGGACACAGGCACTCAGCTGGTACTGGCTGACCAATGGCATGATAACACTGGAATTCATCACCAAGGCATCTTCTTTAAACGTTGTGTCAAACTTATCATCAGTCAATAGGTCACCTTGTGACTGTACATCAGGAAACCATTCCTACAGGTCAAAGGCTACAGTTAAGTTCTTCAGGTCAGGTAAGTACGGAGTGAAGTACAAAACAGCTCTAAATTTACGGTTTAAAGTTATTCCTATAATTTGGTATCTAATAATTACAGAGTCTATAAAATATTTTAGAGGCAGTTATTGGGGAGTAAGAATATAACAATCTGATGTTCTGGCAATAGTCATTTTATATCACATGACGAGTGATCAAAAGAAAACACGGCGACACATATCACATGTGACAGCATTAATTATCTGGACATCTTTCCATAGAAAATGATTAAGTTAAAGAACAATGATCAAAGCTGTGATCTAATGACTGTTTATCTCAGCCAGTAACTGATGGTTGAATGACTTACTGACCTCTAACCTCATGCTTTGCTCTGTAGCCTCACACTGGTTATTTACAGACAGACTCAACTCTGCTGCCTTACAAAGTTCCAAACACTGTACAAGTTGGTCTGTAAAAACAATGAAAACTGACTGATGTATGAGCAACACTTTAGATGATGATATCATTAACTATTGTAACACTGATAACTTTCTGATTTAAACTTCTATCGCAGGGACAAAAGAAAGGCTAAAACATCTTTCAAAATCACAATTCTTTATGAGAAGTGACATGATCTCCCTAACATCCCTTCCTAGTAAACCAACCATACCTGGTGAACACATACCTGGTGAAAGGCCAGCCTTACCTGATATCACTACAACCAAGCCTGACATGCTCGTAATCCTACGAACCCAGCCTTACCTTGTGATCACATCAATTCGGCCTGACAAACCAGCCGTATCTGTTATTAAACCAAGCCAGTCTGACAGGCCAGCTATATCTGTTATTACACTTAGCCAGTCTAACAGGCCTAACAGATTTGTTATCACACCAAGCCAGTCTGACAGGCCAGTCTTACTGGGTGATCACACCAAAACCAGCCTGTCAGGCTTGTGATCATAATGACCCTGCCTGATAGGCTGGTGATCGTACCAACCCAGCCCAACAGTCAAGCCTTACCTGGTGAACAAACTGATGCTGCCTGACAGGCCAGTCTGTATGTGATACTTGGCAGGTCCCGGAGACGGCTAATGCTGACGTTGTTGTTCTCTGCGTTAGCTTGCAAGTGTACAAAGGCCATTGCTACCCTGTACAACATGTCTGCTGTGTCAACAGACGGGTCAGACTCAAACAGTTCTCTGGAATGTAATGTGGAATGTATCATCACATAAGATCACATCAAAACAACATATCACCGAACAATATCGGTTCCTATATTCATATGATTATTCAGGGACCATTTTTGTAATTTTTTAAATTGATCAGTCCAGGGAAACAAGAGTTATGATGTGGAAGTCAAGTTATTGAGTCCAAATAAATTTTCTATTCAGTGTAAAAGTGACCTTGGCACAAAGTAATGTTTTAACTTGCAAGGCAATCCAAAGATATTTGTTTTCGTTACAAAACATATCTAGGGTTTTCCAATTTGACCGGCTACTTTGATCATTGGGCCGCCTACACCAATCCAGTTCCGTAATAATGTTCCGTACACGACTACACGTACACGGCAGTCCACCCTCCTATTTTCACTACAAAGCCTACTACTAACAAAATTATGGAAAAGCCTGCATATCTACCCTTATTAGCAAATGTTTATATTTGCTGCTTTTGTAGCAAGAATAACAAGAGGCCTAACTGGCCTGTATCGCTCACATGGTATCAAAAATAGAATCAGTGTTTATCACAAAGACATCAACATATACACCACAAGCTTTCAAAGGTGGCAACTACAATCAATTCTAACCTATTTCAACAACAAACAGCTTCTAATACCCCACATCCAACAGATTACCACAACAAACAGCTTCTAATACCCCACACCCAACAGATTACCACAACAAACAGCTTCTAATACCCCACATCCAACAGATACAGTTATAACCTAGATTGTAGGTTAATGTCATTTCTTTTTTTCTTGAAATTTGTCAGGCTTTGACCTAGCAACATCTTTCCACCAAATATTCTGCTTCTCGGAGTTTTTGTTTACCAGCAGAAATTTTTTTACAGGTTTTGACAATTTTACTTCTGCAACCTTGAATATGGTTCAAGGTCATTTTTTGTTTTTGTTTTGGAAATTTTGTCAGGCACGTCAAAGAGACTTATCAGCCAAACATGCTCCTGATCCAGTTGGTTAGTCAGAAGAAGCCTTTTTAATATTTTAACAAATCTGATCCTCTGTGACCTTGAATAAGGGTCCATGACATTTAATTTCACTAAATTTGTCAGGCTTCAACCTAGAAACCTATCAGCCAAATACCATGCTTCTGCACCTTTTGGTTAGACAGAAGTTGTTTTAAGGTTTTAACAAATATGGCCCTCGTAATACCTTGAGTAAGGGTCAAGGTCATTTCCCTTTGAAAACATTGTTGGGCATCACCCAAGAAACCTATCAGCCAAGTACCATGCTCATGTGTCTTTGACTTATCAAAAGAAGTCGTTTTAACAAATATTCCCTCAGCAACCCATCAGCAAAATACCAAGACATTTGGTCTGTTAGGTATTGAGAAGTTGTTTAAATGGCCAGGTGAACTTAAAATAAAGAAATCCTACAGTTCTTATTTAATTGGCATTGTGTTATTTATTTGACATTGCAATGTTTGTATGTTTCAGTAGCTATGGTATAGACATGTACATATATCATATAAAGCAATTATTGCACATATAAAATTACTCAAGATGAGTCAAATGAAACAAATCTTATCCTAAGAAATTGTTTCACTAAATCTTTTATTAGATGCATAAATACCTGCACATTTTGAGAGCTGCCTGCACCTCTCCTGTCCGTGCTGCCTCCATAGCTAACTCTCCCTGCAGCTGCATCTTGGGTATACGAAGAATGTCTGCTAGTCTACAAATAAAACACTAGTTAAGTACTGACCCAAACAATTCTATAATCATGATCCATTTTCATTTATCGGTTTGACCAGCAGAACATGGGTTGTTCATTTAGGACCTGGGTTGTTCGTTTATGAAATAAGGCCAGACCTATTTATCTCGTTTTGTATAGAGATAAGTCTTAAATATGCCTTTCAATGCTTGACATAATATTTGCAGGGCTGTCAAGATTAATGCCTGCAATGAAACATTTTAGTGTCAATGAACCAGTTTGTCCCAGTAAAAAAAACCCCCCAAAAAAACCCCTGTAGTTCTGATCATACATTTAAAAACCCTTAAACTGCCATCACCTAAAAGCTATATTCATGTAGTTGTGATAAAATCTATAATATCCTAATCCTATACATAGGTACATACATAAAGGTATCTTTCTATAGTTACCAAGGTATGATAAAATCTATAATATCCTAATCCTATACATAGGTACATACATAAAGGTATCTTTCTATAGTTACCAAGGTATGATAAAATCTACAATATCCTTATCCTATACATAGGTACATACATAAAGGTATCTTTCTATAGTTACCAAGTTACATAACTTATCACAGTACTTTCCGTCTTCACAAATACATCACAACCATCAAGTAAGCAAACAGCTCAAGTTCCAGTATGTATAGCATTAAAAGAATGAAGGGCAAAATGAAGACAGGCTTACTATGGGTTTACTACCCACTAAATGTGGATATTCCACTATGTAAACAGTTTCTGGCATACAATATGCCAATCCTTATTTCTATTTCTTGAAGAAAAAAAAAGAAAAATTTTGTGGGTGAAATCAAATTTCAGTTCCAATGTATTAAGAAAAGTTATCAGATGAAATCAAAGTTCAGTTCCAATGTATTAAGAAAAGTTATCAGATTTGATCAAACTATCAAAATCTTACCTGTATATTTTGACAAAGTTTGTTTTGTTCCCAGTGTCCTGTAAAACAAGAAATAGTTCATTATAGTAATCAAAACTATCTTATCATAGTCTATGAGATTCCAAGATAGTCAAAAATATTAAGATTGAGAGCTGAGGTGATGTAGACATATAGGCCTCAATAGTGAGTTTGACCGAGACTGGTAGGGAGGTAATGTAGACATATAGGCCTCAATAGTGAGTTTGACTGAGAGTGGTAGGGAGGTGATGTAGACATATAGGCCTCAATAGTGAGTTTGACTGAGACTGGTAGGGAGGTAATGTAGACATATAGGCCTCAATAGTGAGTTTGACTGAGAGTGGTAGGGAGGTAATGTAGACATAAAGGCCTCAATAGTTAGTAAAACTGGAAGTGCTATTATAGTGACAACATTGCTTATACAAAGTGAGTTCTGTAATGGAGAAAGTATACTTACATCCTGTGATCGCTGCAGATAGAACTCTGTTACATGAACAACAAGGGTTGATTTTCTGAAAGCCTCATCCTCAAATTCTGCAAGATTCATGTGTTTCCCAAACTCAACCTGTACATAGGCAAGTAAACAATTTTAATGTTCAGTGTCTTGATTTATATAAATTACTGACCTGCAGATTTGACTGAGATTCACAACATTCATGATATATGACTTACCTGTAAAGCCCTCAGACTCAGCAAGTTGGCCAGAAGATACCTTAGTTCCTTGCTTTCTAAATAATCTTTGGATAAAAATAAAGCGATTGTTTAGACAACTGATAATGACAAAGAAAATTTACAAAGAGGTTGTTTTTCCAACAAATCACTGGAGTTTGGGAAGGAAAAAAAAGGAAGTGTCAATCTCCTCTCTCTTTTATAACAAATGATTTTTCACACTGAATTTTAATATGTAATTAGCTTTAATCTAACCTAGGCTGAAATTTGATTTTAGATGTATCAAGTTATGCAATTCAATTTTATAAAATGATCATTGTGACACATACATACCATTTGTTAATGTAAGTAAATGTCTGACTATGTAAATTCCTGCCTCAGTAAAGAGCCGTTTCATTTTTTCATTTTGCTGAAAATGAAAGAGTATTTCTGTTAAATATAACTATGGAAAATAGTTAAGTTTTTTTATATGTCTAACCTGGACTAAGTTTGGATATTGCTTGTAGCTGCTCAAAATTTTTCAATTATTTTTTTTTTTTTTTAAATGCCTCAACTTCTCTCATATGTTTCAGTAGAAATGAACTTTTGAGATCTAACATGCCAGCTTCTGCTTCTTCACAGTAGTATGATATGATTATATATATTTCATGATGAACCCAGTTCAACTTTTATCAGCTTCCATAAAGACATATTTTATCTAGACAACGACAGTTGATCGCTTTTTTATCATATCTCATTTGGTGACTGATGCTGGCAGGGCTTTATTTATGAATACTTTCTGTGATTGTGTAATGCTGTTTCAACAATAGACGAAAATAATACTAACAGGAAGCTAAGAAAAACATTACATTTCCCTTAAAGTTATTTATAACAAGACCTGAAACATTTATAACATTTACAAATTGTTGAAGGTAACCTGGATGTTGATGTCTACAGTGATTGATCGTAATTAGGTAGAGGTGGAGTGTTGATTGAGTGTTAATCAATGATAAGTATGTCGTTGATGTCTACAGGGTGTTAATTACCTGCTGATCAATGATAAGTATGTTGTTGATGTCTACAGAGTGTTGATTACCTGCTGATCAATGATAAGTATGCTGTTGATGTCTACAGAGAGTGTTGATTACCTGCTGATCAATGATAAGTAAGTTGTTGATGTCTACAGAGTGTTGATTACCTGCTGATCAATGATAAGTATGTTGTTGATGTCTACAGAGTGTTGATTACCTGCTGATCAATGATAAGTATGTTGTTGATGTCTACAGAGAGTGTTGATTACCTGCTGATCACTGATAAGTATGTCGTTGATGTCTACAGAGCGTGTTGATTACTTTTGATCAATGATAAGTATGTTGTTGATGTCTACAGAAAATGATGGTGATTATTTAGAGGTGGAGTTTTGATTATTGTTGATCAATGATAAGTATGTTGTTGATGTCTACAGAAAATGATGGTGATTATGTAGAGGTGGAGTTTTGATTATTGTTGATCAATGATAAGTATGTTGTTGATGTCTACAGAAATTGATGGTGATTAGGTAGAGGTGTCGTAATAAATACCTGTTGATCAATGATAAGTTTTTGTTGATGTCTACAGAAAGTTTTAATTACCTGCTGATCAATGATAGGTTTTTGTTGATGTCTACAGGGTGTTGATTACCAGCTGATCAATGATAAGTATGTTGTTGAGGTCTACAGAGTGTTGATTACCTGCTGATCAATGATAAGTATGTTGTTGATGTCTACAGAGCGTGTTGATTACTGTTGATCAATGATAAGTAAGTTGTTGATGTCTACAGAGTGTTGATTACCTGCTGATCAATGATAAGTATGTTGTTGATGTCTACAGAGTGTTGATTACCTGCTGATCAATGATAAGTATGTTGTTGATGTCTACAGAGAGTGTTGATTACCTGCTGAACAATGATAAGTATGTTGTTGATGTCTACAGAGCGTGTTGATTACTGTTGATCAATGATAAGTAAGTTGTTGATGTCTACAGAGTGTTGATTACCTGCTGATCAATGATAAGTATGTTGTTGATGTCTACAGAGTGTTGATTACCTGCTGATCAATGATAAGTATGTTGTTGATGTCTACAGAGAGTGTTGATTACCTGCTGAACAATGATAAGTATGTTGTTGATGTCTACAGAGCGTGTTGATTACTGTTGATCAATGATAAGTATGTTGTTGATGTCTACAGAGCGTGTTGATTACTGTTGATCAATGATAAGTAAGTTGTTGATGTCTACAGAGTGTTGATTACCTGCTGATCAATGATAAGTATGTTGTTGATGTCTACAGAGTGTTGATTACCTGCTGAACAATGATAAGTATGTTGTTGATGTCTACAGAGCGTGTTGATTACTGTTGATCAATGATAAGTATGTTGTTGATGTCTACAGAGCGTGTTGATTACTGTTGATCAATGATAAGTAAGTTGTTGATGTCTACAGAGCGTGTTGATTACCTGCTGAACAATGATAAGTAAGTTGTTGATGTCTACAGAGTGTTGATTACCTGCTGATCAATGATAAGTATGTCGTTGAGGACCACCTGAACCAAATTGATGATCCTAAGTCCACAGGTATAGGCCATATCCATAGGTAGTGACTTTAGCAAGCTTACTGCCTCCTCCACCTACACAGCAAGCAGAAAAGATGGCCATTGGGGAAATTCACATTATTATTCTCCATTAAAAAGGGACAGATAGTCAAATTTCATCTTTCTTGTAAGTTTCATACAGGCACAATCCTCCGCTCAATTGTGGTCACCTGTACCACAACAAGCTTATCATTTTTTCAAAGAATATTTTTGGAAGAAAATTTTATACTTTTGAGATCTAGCTATGTTTTTTTGTAATAATTTACATGTTATACATGTGAGTCACAGTATGATGATTTAAAATGGATAAGCATTACAAGAGTGTACATCTGATTACCTTGTCTTTGGTGATGAGAATGCGCAGCCTGAAGATGTAGAGATCTTTCTCCATATTGACATTGAATGATTCCATAACACTAAGAGAATCTTCCATACAACTGTCCTTGTCGTGACTCAGCATCAAAAACAGCAGCTTCTGTTAAACATTCCCAATGTGTTGTTAAATTAGGACAAGCTTCTGTTAAACAATCCCAATGTGCTGTTAATTTAGGACAAGCTTCTGTTAAACAATCCCAATGTGCTGTTAATTTAGGACAAGCTTCTGTGAAACATTCCCAATGTGTTGTTAAATTAGGACAAGCTTGTGCTAAATAATCCCAATATATGTTGTGACATTAGGACAAGCTTGTGTTAAACATTCCCAATGTGTTGTTAAATTAGGACAAGCTTGTGTTAAATAATCCCAATATATGTTGTGACATTAGGACAAGCTTGTGTTAAACATTCCCAATGTGTTGTTAAATTAGGACAAGCTTGTGTTAAATAATCCCAATATATGTTGTGACATTAGGACAAGCTTGTGTTAAATAATCCCAATATATGTTGTGACATTAGGACAAGCTTGTGTTAAATTATCCCAATATATGTTGTGACATTAGGACAAGCTTGTGTTAAACATTCCCAATGTGTTGTTAAATTAGGACAAGCTTGTGTTAAATAATCCCAATATATGTTGTGACATTAGGACAAGCTTGTGTTAAATAATCCCAATATATGTTGTGACATTAGGACAGATTCCAGCATTTAAAAATCTGACATTTGAAAATCAATGAATAACATGTGGATTTTTAGATCTGATTTTGTAAAACTGTTGTCTGAATACCAGAATCAAGTCACTACCAGTCTTAGTTGTCACTGCAACTTTTTTTATTTACTTTCTCATACTGTTGGAATGTTGGACACAAATTACAAGCAAACCAATATTAAACTTTCTAATCAGAAAACATGCTATTATGTGTTGTATAGTAATTGTGAACTTTTATTTTGAAAACCGTCAACCTCTATTTTAATTCCGTATTCTACATTCTGTTCATATCTTAGCATTGGTCATATTCAACAATACACTTGACTGATGAAGTCCCCATTAATCACAAGCTGTGAACCATAACTCTCAACTTACAGGTTCTGTTGGACATTATGATCAACTTGAACATGATAAGAATAGGTGGCAATAAAGTCAAACATGTTTGTTGGGAAAGGGCCTAGTTAGTTGTGTTATCTGCAGTTATTGTGAATTGCTGTGTTAGGAGAAGGCCTAGTGAGTTGTGTTATCTGTAGTTGTGTTATCTGTAGTTATTGTGTATTGTAATGTTGGGAGAAAGCCTAGTAAGTTGTGTAATCTATAGTTATTGTGTATTGTAATGTTAGGAGAAGGCCTAGTTAGTTGTGTTATCTGTAGTTATTGTGTATTGTAATGTTAGGAGAGGGCCTAGTAAGTTGTGTTATCTGTAGTTATTGTGAATTGCTGTGTAAGGAGAGGGCCAAGTAAGTTGTGTTATCTGTAGTAATTGTGTATTGTAATGTTGTGAGAGGGTCTAGTGAGTTGTGTTATCTGTAGTTATTGTGTATTGTAATGTTAGGAGAGGGCCTAGTGAGTTGTGTTATCTGTAGTTATTGTGTATTGTAATGTTGGGAGAGGGCCTAGTAAGTTGTGTTATCTGTAGTTTTCTGTAGTTATTGTGTGTGTTTGTAATGTTATTGTGTATTGAGAGGGCCTATTGTGTATTGTAAAGTCTGTAGTTTTTGTGTATTGTAATGTTAGGAGAGGGCCTAGTAAGTTGTGTTATCTGTAGTTGTTGTGTATTGTAATGTTAGGAGAGAGCCTAGTAAGTTGTGTTATCTGTAGTAATTGTGTAAAGTAATGTTGTGAGAGGGACTAGTAAGTTGTGTTATCTGTAGTTATTGTGTATTGTAATGTTGGGAGAAGTAAGTTGTGTAATGTTGTGAGATTGTGTATTGTAATGTTAGGAGAGGGCCTAGTAATTGTGTATTGTAAGTTGTGTTATCTGAAGTTATTGTGTATTGTAATGTTGTGAGAGGGTCTAGTGAGTTGTGTTATCTGTAGTTATTGTGTATTGTAATGTTAGGAGAGGGCCTAGTAAGTTGTGTTATCTGTAGTTATTGTGTATTGTAATGTTAGGAGAGGGCCTAGTAAGTTGTGTTATCTGTAGTTGTTGTGTATTGTAATGTTAGGAGAGGGCCTAGTAAGTTGTGTTATCTGTAGTTATTGTGTATTGTAATGTTGGGAGAGGGCCTAGTAAGTTGTGTTATCTGAAGTAATTGTGTATTGTAAGTTAGGACGGTCTAGGAAGTTGTGTTATCTGTAGTTATTGTGTATTGTAATGTTAGGAGAGGGCCTCGTAAGTTGTGTTATCAGTAGTAAATGTGTATTGTTATGTTAGGCAAGGTTCTAGGAAGTTGTAAGAACTTGTACTTGATCCCTTTGATCAATAAAATATATCTGAATGAGTCAATGTTACCTATCCCCTTAACTGGAAATAACTTACATCAGCATTGCTGCGGTCAGGTACAGCCATATTCTTCAGTCTATACTTAAGCATCAATTTCTTCACTTCAACAATATGACATTGTTTTTGGAGTTGAACTACCCTGTGTCAAGTAAATTAATTGCCAACATAGTAATTCATTTCAGGGTCAAATATCATGCTGTATCAGGTGTTTAAATTCTAATGATCAAATACCATATCCAATGCGTAAATTCTGGCCATCTGTATACTGTTTAGAGAGGTAGCATAGCAACCAACAACTACAACTAGACTCCGCCTCCAAATGATTCAGGTTGTTCATTGGACAATAATCCAAGCAAACCTGTTAACTCTGATCATCCAATACCATATCTCATCATTTGGCTCTAATATCACAGTAAGAATGGAAAAATTCATTTAACTTAAGAGAAGTAGATGCTTCAATATTTAGTGTACTCTTGCAATCTTTAAATTTTGAATTAATAGCTTATTCTATTTAATTTCCAACTCATTCTGGGTTTCACACATTCTTTTAGGGTTTACAAACAGGCATTTTCCCCTTACTTTTATAATAAAATAAACAACTAGTCGTAGCACATTCCTACGAAACATGATCTGAGAAACAAGCTTGATCTATAACATGACAGTAACCCACATATTGATTTGAGTTTTGAGAAGTAATTTGTACTAAAGGCATAAGACATGTCGTTACCCTCAAATCTCATTTCTAGTTACAGTGACCATGGTCTTTGGCAAATCATACATAATTAATGGATTTTGAGGGTATATGACAAAACCTACTTTGGATGATTAAGCTCCAGACCAGCTTTGACAAGTTGGTCAATCTCTTTACTCCAAGGGATGGGTGCCCACTTCATTGCCTCTGTGATAGCATCACACTTCTCCTACAAAAAATAGCCTTAATGTTTAAACCAGAGATAAGCCAAAGAAAAGTCAGTACCTGTCATCTGTATTACAGTAAATTCTGCAATATTTCTATAAAACAGAGAATTCTCATATGCAAACATACATGCACAAAGTGATTACTATATACTTTTCCTTATGTATGTGAAAAAACCTGACAGATCAGATTAACACACAAGAAGTATACCTCTGGTCCCGATATCCGGTTGGTGACAGCAATAACTTTCGCCTCCCATGGTGTCTCCTTACGGTATGTTGTTACTGCTCCTACCCTCTCCAGCAAATCCTAACAACATATCAACATCTGTAAAGTTGAAGCTGAACTGAAGTATGTTAGGATAAACAAATCTAGACAATGGTTTTAAAATGCCAATGCATTTCAGGCCATGCTACTCAATAAAACTTTTTTGTCCCTTACAGTCAAACTCAAAGGAAATTTAAGAAGTCAGTGTGTTATAAAATATTATCTTCTTCTTATTGTATCTATGCAACTGAGCCTGAATCAACCTTGACATACCAGGAGATTATTGGGGAATACTTGGAGGTACCTTAATATACTGGGAGAATATGTTGTCCTCCTTCAGCCCATGTTCTCTCATGTAGGGACGAATATACGTATCCAAAGTCTGGTCCATCAACTCCACTGCTACCACCTCATCCAGCATCCGAAATGTAACACTCTCTGTTGTCTCCTGAATGGTTTATGTCAAAATCTTACAGTGAGGTAACTCAAAAAATTTGAGCGAGGTCACAAAGAGAGTGAAATTGTATCAGAAAACATATGGCAACTAGTGTCAGGAAAGGACAACAATGTCGGTGATAATAAAATGTTATGCTGTAGAGGAATAATTTCTTTGGGATCCCAGTACCATTGATTTGTAAGGGAATATTTCACTGACATTCCAATTCCATTATTCTGTAAAGGAATGATTTATTACAATTCCCATTCCAATATTCTGCAGGGGAACAATTAACTGGGATCCCAGTCCCATTATTAGGTATGGGAATGGTTTACTGGGATCCCACTAATGTTCACAAATGTACCCTGGTTATCCTAAAATAATCCCTGTAGTGTCTATAAGTAGGTTTACACCCAATATTCCTGTATAAACTATCAACAGGTGAGTATAAACTGTCAACAGGTGAGTTTACACCTGACATACCTGTATAAACTGTCAACAGGTGAGTTTACACCTGACATACCTGTATAAACTGTCAACAGGTGAGTTTACACCTGACATTCCTGTATAAACTGTCAACAGGTGAGTTTACACCCAACATTCCTGTATAAACTGTCAACAGGTGAGTTTACATTCAACACACTTGTATTTACTGTCTTTAGGTAAGTTTACACTTGACATAGTTGTATAAACTGTCCATTGGTGAGTTTACACCTGATATACCTGTATAAACTGTCCATAGGTGAATTTACATTCAACATACTTGTATTTACTGTCTTCCGGTAAGTTTACACTTGACATAGTTGTATAAACTATCCATTGGTGAGTTTACATTCTACACACTTGTATTTACTGTCTTTAGGTAAGTTTACACCTGACATACCTGTATAAACTGTCCATAGGTGAGTTTACATCTGTACTTAGTATGGAGGTCATGCAAGTGCTTCAAGTTAGTAATAAGAACATGTATAGGTTCAGTGATGACTGCTGGATCAAGGCTGGTCTGTGATAAAAAAAAAAGACGAAATCAATGCTTTATTACATGTTAAATTTCACTTCTTAGCTAAACTGCTATCAGCAAATCAATCATCACTCCTAAAATATTTGTGTATTAAATCATAAACTTTGTTATAGAAGAGGACTTTTTGGCTTACTTACCCGGTAGGCTGTGTCAGAGGCGGTACATAAATAGTCTGATTGGCTAATTTTTGTTACTCTGCATAAACATTTATGGATGGATTTGAGGAAAGTGATGGCATTCATAGGCCAAGAAGTCTGGAAACAGAGAAAACGAGTAGTGTCAATGTTATACTACATTTATTTAATATCACACATATTACTTCTATAACACTATACTTGTACATCACTAATGTAATACTACACATGTTACACATGTCACTGCTGTTATACTGCATACATCACTGATATAATTCTTGACATATCACTGCCATTATAACATAATATAAAGATACATAACCCAACATATTTGACGAGTTTTATCATTTACCCTCACATTACCTTTTCTTGTAGTTCCATGTTCTTTGCCTTCTGTATAATCCAATGTATAAGGAGAGCCTATGAAAATACAAAGCAAACATAGTTTAAGTAGAAGTCTCATGAGGTCAATAAATTTCAATTGAAATATCCAGTAATGATTTTATGTTAATATATTTCTGATGATACAAAAAGGAAAATCGCACTTCAACAACTAACCACTAAGTCAGGATCTCGACAACTTACCTGTGAGTCAGGAATTGGTCTGGATAACTTACCTGTGAGCCAGGAATTGGTCTGGACAACTTACCTGTGAGTCAGGAAGCCTATGAAAATACAAAGCAAACCACCTGTGAGCCAGGATTGGTCAATAAATTTACCTGTAGCCAGGAATGATGGTATGTTACATATATACCTGTGAGTCAGGAATTGGTCTCAACAACTTACCTGTGAGTCAGGAATTGGTCTGGACAACTTACCTGTGAGCAGGAATTGGTCTGGACAACATACCTGTGAGCCAGGAATCTGGGTGAGCCTGGACAACTTACCTGTGAGTCAGGAATTGGTCTGGACAACTTACCTGTGAGTCAGGAATTGGTCTGGACAACTTACCTGTGAGCCAGGAATTGGTCTGGACAACTTACCTGTGAGTCAGGAATTGGTCTGGACAACTTACCTGTGAGTCAGGAATTGGTCTGGACAACTTACCAGTGAGTCTGGATGTAATCTGGATATCGAAGGGATAAGTGTATCTCTCATCAGACCCAGCACCTCCTTAGCCGTAACTTGTTCCGGTAACCATGACAACACCTTGCTGATCAGTGGTGCAGTCAGATTAGTTTGCCATTCTGCCTGTTTGATAGGAAGGCAACTAATATCATATTTATGATCATAACTGAATATTCTTATGAATTAATAGACAGCCACAGGATGCATGATATATTATGTTTAATCAATTAAAATGATCTATTTTCTTTTTCCTTAAAAATGTGTGATTTCTCCTCTTCAAACTCATCTGATATTATTCCACATGGCAATAAATACCTCATGTCTAATCCATATAACCAGTCCAGTCAATAAATTTCTCTGGTCAAACAACATTGTGGCCTGCTGCAGCAAGTCTGCCTTGAGGAAAACCTCCCACTTTTCTCCACTGTTAAACACAAAAGGTATCACAACATAGATAGAACATTGTAACCATATATCCAGAAATTCCAATGTATGATACAATTCACTTCTGGTTGTGCCACTCTCAGGCCATCATTAATGCTGTTGTACAACCAAGGTAAATTTTATAAGAATCCTTTCATCCATACAAAAGAAAAATAATTTTTAAGATCTAACTCCATTCAGCATTAGGGGATAACATCTTTAACTTACATAACATTTAGTCCTAATGACTATCCCAGACTAAATGTGGGTGGTTTGATGGACTAGGAGTGGAAATGTCAAAACATACCTGTATTTTCCTTCTCCAAAGGCTATACCAAAGGTAACTAATCTGTTCTGGATGTCTAGCAACTGAAACAGCACAAATGTAGATATAGGTATTTTAGATGGCAAAGTGGCTTTCATATGTAAAAGTTTTCAAAAGGAATCTGATCTTTACATGAATGCATGGTTTCAGAAGTAAACTTATTACAATAGTAATAACAGAAGCAAAAACATGGAATGTATTAATTAAGCAAAGGTGCTTCACATAGGAATAAAAGGGTAATTATAGAATTTTACATGGTCAAGATGGTGACCAGCTGTGTATTTAGGTCTATCATTCCTGAAATGTGAATACAACTGTTCCACCTGATCTAATTGTACCGCAATCTAAAAACCTATCTCAGTTTTCAAATATGGTTATTACAGTTCAAGCTTTCAATCCCTTTAATTTATAATTAATTCCTATGAAATCTTTGCTTTATTTCCAAGCTTAAAGTTTTACAAGAATATGTAACACTAAAAAATCAGTCACATACCTTGCTCATGAGAGTCTGTTGAAGTTTTTTGTCACTTTCGTCTGTTATAGATTTAGCATATTTCTCCAACTGAAAACATTAGCTTAAAACTTTTAGTATATTTCAAAGTTTTAGTTGTCATTTCTAATGTTAACGAAAAGTTACAAGATACATCATGTAGTTAGCTTTTTCAATAACAGTTACATCTTCAGGACTTCTATCCTGCCAAACTGACAGGTGACAGGCGGGAAAACCTTATCAATACTAAGCAATACTTAGTGCAAAACTGAGACTACAAGGAAACATTGAATACCCTTTTCTTGCAGTAAGATAGCAACTTCCTCGTGGAGTCCATTTTTGGCAAAGTAGACCTCATTCCTAATTCACACACATGACAGTCATCCTGCAAACAAATTGATATGATGCTCCAAGTAATTTTTGAAAGAGATTTCACACAATTAAAGAATTGTAGATGGCTGAATTCATTACAAAACTTGATATGAGCAATACTATAAATTTACGTACGTATATTAAATACATGTATTACTATATTCAAAGTTACAAACACAAAAGTATCTATTGTAGCTGCTTCACTGATGCATGCTGAATCAAAATGAATATTAAAGTTTCCACTTTATGGAGGATGTAAAATTTCTGAAAGTGGTATACAACAAAATGCCTGAAATTAATGTAACCTCCATTTAAACCTGACCTCTTCCTTAACTCATCAGATGTGTCCAGTCTTACTCAGCTTACCAATACCTTTTTGAAAGTGAAGTGACCTGTGAAGATTCACCAGACTTACATCAATAAGATCCATACATATCCAAAGCTGTTCTATCATTTCTGCAATTTTGTCTTCCCCGTATTTCATCAAATTCCATGGAGACAGCTGTTCCAACAAGTGTTCTAATTTCTTCTTTTGCACGATCTGTTAAAATTGTGATCACCCTAAGCTGATCAATTAGGTAGTAAACAGAATACATAATGTATGAACCAAACACTTACTCTGTTTATGATTTACTCTGCAGAGACCAGAATAGCTTTAATACAGGTATACTTATTTCATATAAGTTAAACCAAATTTATCCTATATAAACAATAGTAAACTTTACCCCTTCCCTAGATGAAATGCAAGACCCTGTAGTCATGAAATTCACAATTTTCACAAATTTGAGTTAGGTTTTTGTTTGGTTGAAAATCACAACTGCTTAGGCTTAATTAAACTGATTTACTGTATAAAGAATTGATAGAAAAGTACAAGGTGCATCTAAACATTTTAGAATAAAGTATAAAGAAATATACTATACCATACTAAATTATTGGGTATAAAGTATTTGTAAAATTGCCCAAAACAAGACAATGTTTAAAAAATTATCCAATTTGAAACATAATTCATTATCAATCTATTCCATAATCTGATTAAAATTTAATCTGCTATAATTTACACATTCAATGGAAAATGATGTGGTATAAACTACCTCAGTGTTGAGTCCAAAGATCTTGGCAAACTGCTCTGCTTCTTCAAACTGATTCTTGTGCAAAATACGATACAATCTGTGGTAGAGAGCAGGATTAGATTAAGTCTGTCTACTATTATGTACAGAGAATAGATTCTTGTAGATAAGTCTGTCAGCATTTAGAGTAGATTTTTATTAATAAATCTGTCAAGTTTTTAGCAGTTACTGGGTGTGAAGAGTTCAGGAAATCAGGTTATGATGTATTGGTTTCTACTAAAAGGTTTCTATTAAAAAAACTAACAAACAAACAAAATAATCACTGTATAGATTTGAATGGTATTCAGGTGACAGATCAGATTGCTGAAGCAACTGATAGGAAGTAAAAAAGTTACCTTGTCTGAGGGTTGGTTTCTGTCAAACAGCGAAACCGCACAGTTGTCACAGATTCTGGAGAACTACAACAGAAATCAGAGGCTTAATTTAGGACAGTTCCAAAAGAGATAACCTCATGACAACTCTTTATAAAAGTATGCAATGTGTTTAAATTTGTTAATTTGGCTTCAAACCAACTTTTTGTGAAAATGTTTGTGAAGGAATTTCATTGTTAATACCAACATTTCCCTCAAATTAGCAGAACATTGATCAGAAGGCATTTCTGATGAAAACACCAAAATAACCAGGATTTGATAGTAAATTAAGCTGCTGTATAAACCTTTGGCATGAGATGAAGACTGAAATTTAATGACTTACTTACACATAAAGAATGAAATAAACCTTTAATTATAAAGACATTCAGACCTTAACAATTATTTTATACGGAATAAATTTACTCAGTGATGTCATTTAACTTCTACATATTCCTCTGGAAAAATATCAATAAATCTATAATCATACTGATATTAATGAACATGTGATTATGTGATAAAGAATAAATCTATTTTCCTTGGCATAAACACATAATCTTGGTGATAAATCTTTCATCCAAGGAATAAATACCAGGTATATCATCCTTGTGATAAATCTATCCGACAGTTATAAAAGTATTTACCTTGGCTCACCACAGCATTCTGCCACATACAATGTTTCCTACAACAAAGGAGCTGGTGTAAGGACAGACATAGATATTCTGATCTATCATTTAGGGATGTTCAGGATTACTAGAAGCCACTTTGCTGGTTATTGAGTTAAAGATAATTATCCCCTAACATCATTACTAGAACACCTTTTAACTTCAAAAGTCATTGACTTACAAAAATTGCATTTTCATCCAAGAAACCTATATTTTATGTGTACAATATATATCTATCTTTCACGAGTAGTACACTGTAACTATGATCATACTATTATATACTAAATATAACTGCTAATATAGCGCAAAGCACAGTATCTTAACATTGATTTGGTTGTTAATAGAACAGCAGTTTATATTTTATATGAAATATTAAATTTTAAAATTTAAATCAGAATCTGACCCTAACATCATGGTGTGGTCGTGTGTTTACTTTGCCAATGAAGAGAAATTATGAATAAAATGAGTTATGATGGTCTAGCTGTAAACCATTGGCTTCAGAGGTGTAAGGTGCAGATGTTACCTGGAGGTGAGACAATTGGGAGATGACAGATTGGACATTGAGTTTTAGGATGCTGATGTTACCTGGATTGTGACACACTTGGAGATGACAGACGGGGCATTGAGTTGTAGTGTGTAGATGTTCTGACAGTCAGGCAGGTTTTGGATAATCAAAGTACTTTTCCAGTCCTTAGTCATGGTGAGAATCACCAGCTTCATGCCTTCAAAACTGTAAAAATAATACAAAAACACATCTGGCTTCATACTTTCAAAGCTGCACAATGTATACATGTACACACTAATCTTCAAACTTACATGTGTGCTTATCATACTAGTACACAGTAAAAATCAATATCAAGACAGAACCTGTCTGACATCAGTATGGCAAGTGTTTTCTGAGATTTGCTTGTTAAAATTTCAAATGTTTAAAAAAATTTCAATGTTAGAAAAGCAAAATTCAATCCAACTTTCTGCTTTTCTTTTGAAGATTTCATTTGTTATTTTTCATATACTACTTATAACGATATTTTAAGCTTGACGTAAGTAATACTATAGAATAATCCACCAGACGTATAACCAATGGATATTGTCATTTCAAGCCAGCTGAATACATAAAGAGCTATCTGACCTCTGGTCTTTCACATCTTTAGTCTCCAGCAGCTGAAACTGTTCCACATCAAGATCTTGCCACTGTTTCAAAAGTGTCAAGGTCGGCAGATTCCATAAACTCAGAGTATGCTGTAATTATAGGTAAAAATTGTCATTGAAAATATAAACTAGTTAGACTCTCCTTAAATAATACAGATCTAATGTTAATTCCATTACAAAACACTGCAGATATAGTTTATAAAAAATCTAAATGTTCATTTGAAATACAAAGCACACCAACAGTCATTGAAAACAGGATAATAATGTCAGTAAAAATATACAAAAATGGCTGCTTTAATAATGATATAAGTTAAAGATCAACAAATAAACTTACATTATCATCCAATAGAAAGAGATGGACTCCATCAGTTGTTACTTTTCCTTGTAAAATTCCAGAACCTGATGAAGCATGAAAAAGTACAACATTTCAGTCATTTTGGAAGTTTTCCCTTTTGAAATTTTCAGAAAGTACAAACATTCAAAATTCTTACCATAAATACTGATTTTCAAATTTGAGATATGTTGTAAATATTTACTTATATGAACCACAGAATACATTCAAGAAGATCATCCATTGATTGTGACAGCTGAAACATCCAGTCTAAAAACTTAAGACCGATTGATTGACAACTGTCCATCTGACAGACTAGGGATTCAGTTAGCAAGACTTCCATCCATCCAAAATGCCTGGTAAAAACATATTTTCACTTCATTTCATTGAATTTCAATATACCAATTAAAGAAAATGTAACAAATTTCTTTGTCATTCTAGAGACTCATTGGGGAAAAAATCTGGCCCACGGATGACAAATCTTAGAACGCATGAGACAAGGAGTATGGTTGTTTCTGTGTTTTTTTTGGTGTCAAAATCCAGTCATATGGCAAACTAAAATGTTCTAAAAACATTGTTTACAATTCAAAATCTGAACCCCATCAAAAAAAATCTATTTACAAACTTAAGATTGTGATTAATATTATCTATGGATAGTAACCAGGAATTAAAGAGAAGCACAACATTAGAAAGAACAACTTTGATTCAATATATCTTTAGTATCCGGTTTACCTTACCATTCAACATGTTACTGCAGACTTCGTCAGTCAGCTCAAGGCAGCCATTCTCAAACTCCCAGACAGCCAAAATGCGGTTCCCACAACCCTATATGGAAAAGAGTTTTAAATATACACGTGTCAAAAGGTGATAAATCATAGTTGAAAAATCTTTTTGAAATTTGTTCTTTATGGAAACAAGCATGGAAAAAGTGCATCCAGAGTGATTGTAGTACTGTACTACAAAAGATGTGAATTAAGCCCTGTACAGATAGAAAAGCCCAGGAGTGTAAAATAACCAGGTCTGTACCATCAACATACCATAGTGATGATGGTGTCCCCGATGGTGACCACATCTGTCACACCCTCTGTGTGTAAGTCTCCAGTCTGGACAATTGTCATCATGTCTTTAACTGATGAAGCTGTTTTGCTTTTGTCTTCTGTACAATTTAATAAAAAACACTAAAATGTTAACAAACAAATTCTGTAGCAGCATTCCTCAGATAACTTGTACACAAGTATAATTACAAAATCAATGATATATATAGATTTAGTAACAATATCATTTTCTATGGGATTCTAACGATATATTCATGCTAAATGTTAGCACCTGTACCCAAGCATAGAATACTTTTTAAAAAGTGAAATTTACAATACTTCAACCTGGGAAAACAAGAGAATAAAAAGACCTAAAATATTTATTGACTGGCATGCAAACATAACTAATTACTGATTTATAGCAACAGTCTGTTAATCAATAGACTGATATGGAGAGACAGTTACTTCATCAATTTGTCACGAGAATGCCTGGAGATAAATTATATCAATTGAAAACAAAACATGGAAGTTTCAGAAATTGCTGCCAAAATTCTTTACTGCAAACAATATTTATACCATTGTTAAAAGAGAGCTATTCCAGTATATCATTTATCCCCTGAAAGGACTCAGGTTTGTTAAAAAAAAAGGACCACTAATATAAGTGGTTTATTACACAAGTACTTTAAAATTAAATTGTGACTTTTCGGAATCCACCTTGCAGAACGTTTCTTGAGCTGCCTGTAAAATCCATGTTTTACTAAAACGACCAATTCTTAGTATCTTTTTGATAGTTACCAGATAAGAAAATGTCTGGTGTCAATTCTGACAGAACCATTAATTGTCCGTTACTACTCAGGATCAACAGGTCATACTCAACTGAAAAAAAACCAAAAAAACAATTCTTGAAGGATGTGATGATATCTCACTTCATCTAGGACAAGTGAAGGTGGTTTGGAGTTGGATGTAAAGAAACACTCATCTACTAACAAGTGATCTCCAGGAAGAATTTAGAATTAGAGTATCCACAGTTTGAGTTGTAATACGGTACTTATTTCATACTTTTTCAGTATTGGTAAACTTATGATACAGTTACACTATGTACTGGATCAGAAATCAGAAGATCAGATACATTAAAAATCAATACATGTATTGATAAATCCGTAACGGCTTGTTGGACAAAAAATGCTTTATTGAATGTTATTGACATACCGTCAGTTCTGCTATAGAAAGCGATTCTGCTGAAGGCATTTCCTCCAAGCCCTGGTTGACACACCCTCTACAATATACATACTGAACCATTAATTTCAATATAGGAGAGTTCAGGAAAAGTGGTTCAAGAAAACGGTTACTTCCAGTTAGCTTATTAATTGAGCTTTTTAGATTTTTAAGATGAAGTTTGGAATAACTTACAGTAGAATAGACAGTCTCCATCGTATCAGAATTAATCACATAGATTTTTCCTTGGATATCTCCGACAACCAGTAAACAACCATCTGGACTCCATTCCATCTCCTCCACTGGGGCCTCTACAATAACAAGCTATGTGTCACATTACGTTGAGCCTATCTCTCCATCAAGTCACATCATGTACAGACTAACAAGTAAAATCTCATATCATTGCCAGTTCACAAATATTTGTAATGAATGTATCTGTTCTGTGATGAAATTGATTATAAATCTGAAACATGATCCTTTCTGGGAAACAGTTCCTACAACAACTGTTTAAAGATGGATGACAGACCATAGACAAAGGGAGATAAGCTGGTCAAAATTCTATGGTGTTACTCTCACTTGTCACTCTGTAGAGTAAGGAAGATTTACCTTGATAGCATCAAAATAATCTGATCACATCCATCTTATCTGCTGTTTAATTCAACCATATCATCACAATTGTTAAAAATACATGTAATGTCATCCCAAAACATTCTAGTAATCTGGTAAGAAAATGTTACCTGGTGGCAAAATTATGAAGTTAATAAGGTTATAAAAGGGCCACATCCTGTAGTACTTATCACCTTCACTTTGTTTATCAATTTTTAAAACAATTGCTCCTCGACAAACTTTCAATGATATGAAATCCTTTACACTACCAAATGATGGCAAGAAATCTAAATTCATTAACATACTACTTATATCTCAAACCTGTCATAAAGAAACATTATGAATGGTGGAACAATGCAAGTATTTCCTTATATTAGCAATGCCATGCAAATAGTCTATTATCAAAGACTTCTTGTTTACAAGTATTGTTTCCGTTTTCTTGCTTCAAACACACTAAGGATACGCTAGAGACAGCTTTGTACTACTAAATCACCTAATTCCAGAGTGCCAGAAAATTGACAATCTTTGAATAGGGATGCATGTCTTTCCACAGCAATGCATGACAGTTCTCCAAGTATTGATGTCACAATGCGTGGGGAGCTCTGAACAACAGCCTGAAAATCACATCAGAATGAAAATTATTTCAAAATATGATGTAGACATACATACCTGAGAGTTATTGAAGTCAAACTTTAATTTCTTGTGCATACATGTCTAATATAAGCATAATTAGAACGAGAATTCATGTGCAGATATAGATAAATAACTCCTTTTAAGATATTTATCTTCTTTTGTTTAATTCTAAGCGTTAGATGTGTAAAACATGCTTATCCTTTTGCATTATTTTCCATTCTAACTATAAATCTGTATCATACATTATTTGATAAACATGGTCACAACTGAAACAAATGCCAGTATGAAATACTACCATATGAAAGTAAACAGATACCCATGTACAAAACTATGAAAAAGAAAATGCATTTACAAATTACAAACCTCGTTTCTCGGGGAAACGGTTGCTATTGTGTCTATTTGATAAAGGGCAATTCCTGATTCCTTCCTTGGCCCAAAGTTAACTGTTTCATCTCCTTCAAAGTTTGCATTCACAATATCCCAATCCATTTTGATGATAATCCTCTCTGACCCTGGCATATGAATTCAAAACATTTCCTGTATCAATCTGATGAAAACTGCATCATATACTTGACTGGTACTCTTAAATGACTGAAGTAATATACTGGTACAGATAATAAGTTTTTTTCACTGGTCTGGGGTAGGGCCTTTTTTTCCTCATTTAGGAAAGAAAATTGGTGAACTTGGAAGGAAATTTGCTGGAGGAAATTGTAAATTTGCATGATATGGAGTAAATATAAAATAACTTCAAATTCAAGACCGTTACAGGCTCAAAACTCCACCCAATAAAAACCTTGAAATACCATGTTTTTGCAGTGTAAATTCTGTGTCATTAACAGAACTTCCAATAGTAACTATATCAATATGTGTCTCTGTGTTGTGAAGATTCAACCACTAGATTTTCAATTATTTCAAACAATTATTACCAGTATGCTGTCTGCATCTGACACTTATAAGTTAATCTTAATACTCTGAAGTCAGAACGCATTTATAGGTTCATCTCAGTACTTCTTTGCATTTCCACCTATCACTTAAAATACTTAGTGGGCCAAACAATATATATGCAAATCCTATGTCAAAGAGGAATATGTTTTGTATCAAAATGAAAACAAATGTGGAAATATTTAATTGAAATGGGATAAGTTAAAACAGTGGTATGTTTTTATGACAAAGCAAACAAAGTTAAAAAAGATGAAAACTGAGAAAACAATTGGGATAAAAAAAATGCAATAATCAAAGGGCAGATATTACTGAATCAAAATGGTGTAGATATAAAAACACTCTTGTGTTATGGTTACAAAGCTTACAAAGTTTCACATGAACTTGTGTTGAACTTATAGTGGATGTATTTGGACAATTTTGAATTGCTGACAAAAACAAAGGACAATAACACCTCAAAACTTGTTGAATCAAATTGCTGTTTAGGAAAACACAACTTCATGTCTAGGTATTAAAACTGAAGTCAAATCTAATCTCGTAAACCAGTCAGTAAGCCTGACTTTGGTAACATTAGATTCTTCTGAAAATTATCACGCATAAAATTTGGCCAAAATGGAACTAATCTCATTTTCTTAAGATGAGCATGGATTAGATCTGCCAAATCCTGCACTAGCTAGCTGCTTCTCATTTGAGGAATATTGTGGTCATCTAGATAAAGGGCACAATGAAAATATGATTAAATATGGATTTCAGTAAAGCCTTCAACAAAGTGAAATAGAAACGTATTAAGTCCTTTGAAAATGGCAAAGAAAGTATATTGGACCTTTATTTGCAACACTAAACTAGTAATGGCAGGAGCTATTTGAGCCACACAACACCGACAGAGTGGATGTACCCTAAACCACATGCTGTTGAGAAGAAAGGTGTGCCAACTGCTGGATATTTTCCTGGGTACCACGTCACTGAACCAGAAACACTAGATGAAGAAGTTAGCCCATCAAATACCTACAGTCCCTTCAGGACACTTTGCAAAGACTGAGTTAAACAAACATCTGAACTGCCTGTAAATGTGCTCCTATTAATAACATCTGAATCAGAAGCTTTATATGATGTTGGGGACGTTGTGCTTAAATTGGACTTGCAACCAAGTTGCAAGGTGGGACCGAGCCCAAAGCTAAAACTACCGGTCCTATGCAGACACCACCATAAAGTCATCAGTTTTTAATTAGATAGCGGAAAAGAAAAGAGAGGCTATATTCCATCACAACTGCCTGAAAACTGCAAGGATTATGAATTCCCACTACGGCACAAGAGACAGAAACAAAATACTTGCATGTTAGTAAGTTTGAGTCAGTAGACACCTTCGACAGTGAGGACATGCAGATCTTCCAGCTGTTTGGAATTAATCAGGACCTCACATCAGAAACTTCTGAGGATAAGCTACAATCTTGACAGGAGTTATCTCAAAGTCACCAAAAAAGGGAGACTAAGAATCCAATTGCAACTAATATTAGACCCAGGGGCACGCAGAGATAAATGCCTAAGTATTTGACCAGATGCTTAAGCACATGGCCAATTAACGACTAGATAGTAGATGACAAGTGAAAGGAGTTTTGAGAGAGAAGAAGGGAGCAATATAGTGAAATGGGTCTTCTTTGTAGTATGCTCTTGCATTATGCAAAAGACCCGTTTTGGCAACTTGTCTTGGAACTTCTGACATGCCTCAGGGCAGACTGGCCACCTTTGACATTAGTTCAGTTCTACCTCTTTTTTGCCTGCTTGAAAAGGAGGAAGATTATGTAGTTCTGAAAACATTAATAATGTCTGTAGTTAGCTAGTCTAGAAGGAAGAGCATGTAGCACTAGTTGCTATGTCAGGAGGGAAGAAAATTCCAGGTGGAAAAAGCTTGAGTGCGGCAAGATTCTTTATGTGCAGAGGAGTGGAGAGGGTTTGGATAGAGTCTTTGTTAAGCAGGTCGGTGAAAACATGGTGTTTTACAGCTCTCCTCACTGTCACACTTGTAGATAAGTATAAGCTGAACTTATACATGTAACAGGAGCGGAAAATGCGCTGCAAGACCGGGGTATAAACCTGGTACCTTCCAAACTCTAGACAGATGCTCTACCTACTGAGCTAACTAGTCACCAACGATCGACCCTGTCCAGTTCCGCTACATATATATAATTACAGGCTATTGGGTTATCGAAACATATAATGATATAAAAATGACACAGATTATTCCATAGCTGCAAATAAAACGACGCCTTTCTTGTTGTTATATAAAATGAACTCAATGTGTAATTATTTCTATGACAAATCATCACGCATTGAGCAGGCTGTCACTCAGCTTCAAGACAAAGTCCCAACCGTTCTACTGTCAGTACCGAAGCCTAGACCAAATACTGGAATGAGCAGGACGAATAACAATGTAAATAGCATTAGTAGCATAATAAACGGGTATATTGACATTAAATAGTCATTTTAGATACAGAAATTTTCGGTCTATACCGAAGCAATGTATTGGGCCTAAAATATAGTGTTTATCTGCAAAAGTTAAAATGAACTATCACGAAAGTGAAATGCTGCTCTATAACAGCCCTACTTTTTGTCCATCGATATTTACACACCTAGGTACGTCTATCAAAATCTGCAGTTAGGTCTGAGATGTGGTTTTCGAAACGCGCGGTTTAAGTTGCCGGAAGTACGTTCAAAAGCACAGTTTCGAACAAAAAATAAACCCTTCGCAGGCTCTCTTATTATTGATAAATTATTAAAGCAAATATTTTTAACCGAATGTAGTAGGAAAATCGCGTGTGAAATAAATTACGTAAAACGTAAAACTTGATAGGCTAGGTTTTGGAGGCTAGCTTCCTGTTTTCTGGAGTTATCATATATTTTCAATGAAAAAGCCAGAGGAAAGTATTGTTTACATGTAACTTGGGAACACCACCATGTTCTCGCGGATTTCATAATGTTTCAGACCAAGAAAGTGTATTTTTGTTCGTCATTAAATGCCATTATTTTAATACAGTATACATAATCATCGTGAACAATGGGATGCGCGTCGGGGAAAGCATCAGTTGGTGTTATCAGTAAGTTTTTACAATATCTTTCAAAATATGATGTCGTTCGTTACAAAACAGACATTTTTCATGTTCATATGCTTTTTCGTTGATATCGCATCATTAGCATGCGCTCTCTATCCTAAGGTAGAAGTTTTTTTCTTAGTGAAGTTTGTATTTTTTTAAGATTTATGTAGCAAACCCAAACAATGCAAATCTAAGTATAAAGGGCATTTAAAGTTAAAGCCCTAGTTAAGGTTATCTAAGGTGATGCACGGAGTTCCGTTTTGTAACCAGACAATTTGCCACTATCAACAGAACTTCCAACCATCTTTTTGGGTAATATCGGGGTGGTATAGTTGTAGTGTTATGTTACATGTAACTCCCTACCAGTATTTATTTGAAGTCTAGCTTGTCTCGTAGAAATGAAATTGTGCAATATAGCAAGGTGTTACTTACAGTTACAGATACTATGGATGTCACTGTTTTTGTAGGGATGCTTCCAGTTGGGGCCTTCAGGATGAAACTGACACTTTATTAGAATACTAAATATAATCACAACTTGTATGTTGATGTTTAAACAGTTCACCCATGATACTACATCCACCAGGTAAACACTGGCGAAGAAAAATGATGTTCTAAATGTGTTTATCTTGTCTGATTTCAGATAACACTTCAAGAGTAAAGGAAGGCTTTGTTGAAATTTATGTTCGTAAGTGTCTTTGTAACTACATTATTGAGTGATAAATTCCAAATTTATGATTATTTGAGGCTTCACATTAAGTACTTTATATAAATACACATAACATGGACCAGTCAAGAACCTATTGTGTGACTGGGGATGTACATGTACCTGTGCAAAGTAATAAATCAGGTTTTAAAAATGCATTCAACCAGTAACTGACCAACTTTTTTGTCCAGCCACCATATCTATTATACATTATTGTATGTAATATGAGTCAACATTCCTTGCAGCCAGCTGTTTTGGTGGTGACTGGGAACACCGGTATCTAGTTCTATATCAGGACTCCATCATTCAGTGGTTCAATGATCGCTTTGATGGCAAACCTTTAGGACAGACAAGGCTCAAGGTGAGTGTGTTAGGAAGGAAATATCTGCTGTCTAACTTCCAAATGGTGTATTTTTCTTCACTGTACAAACCAAGGTCAGTTGTGTGGTCATGAATGTTGAAAAGCAGGTAAACTCATGTAAGACCACTTAACAAGATTGTGAAAATTGATTAGGTATTGTTAACATTTTACTAGGGTGATGAGAGAAAATCTTAACTTGACTGGTACAGATATAACAATTTAAGAAAGGTTTAGATTGAAGAAATATTACACCTGGTATATAAATTTATAATGAAGTGCGTCCATTTTTTTTTTGTAGTCTGTTGCGAGCCATGTTGGGTTTGGTACCATGTGTTTGCGGGTTCCTGACAGACCAGATCTTCCACAGGGGCGAACCCTTGACTCACTTATGGCCTTACCTAGTGACAGACCAGTCAGAGGCAAAAGGAAAAACAAGAATTTGCTTGTCATATGGATCTTGTTTGCAGGGGAGTCAGATGCAAAGTGAGAAAACTATTCGTTTTCATTCAATTTTCAATGTGCAAGTATTATCTATGATAGGGTTACTTCTGTCTTTGCCCAAGATTGCTGTTTCAAGCTTGCTTAACATTAGTGTACTATAGTTGCTATCTCTCCTGGTGAAATATATCATAATTAAAAACTAAAATAAACATTGCTGATCACCAGGTATTAAAGGATGTTAAAATTGTAATTACACTGTAAATTCACATACTTTTTGCTATACATGTACACCAAATTTTTATTGATTTCCAATAATTTTTAACTCATTAATACTCATCATTGTGAGATTGACCTGGTTTCCAATACAAAATATTAATACTTGTCATAGTTAGATTAATCTAATTTCCAATCCTTTTGGGCTATGACATTAATCCCTGTCACTGTTACATGCCCCAAGGGGTTATACAGAGGGGCTATAGCACGGCGGTATTTAGCTATACAGAGAGGCTATAGCACGGCTGTTTTTGGCTATACAGAGAGGCTATAGCACTGCTGTAGTTAGCTATACAGAGAGGCTATAACACTGCTGTATTTAGCTATACAGAGAGACTATAGCACTGCTATATTTGGCTATACAGAGAGGCTATAGCACTGCTGTGTTTGGATATAAAGAGAGGCTATAGCACGGCTGTATTTAGCTATACAGAGAGGCTATAGCACGGCTGTATTTAGCTATACAGAGAGGTTATAGCACTGCTGTATTTGGCTATACAGAGAGGCTATAGCACTGCTGTATTTGGCTATACAGAAAGGCTATAGCACTGCTGTATTTGGCTATAAAGAGAGGCTATAGCACTGCTGTATTTGGCTATACAGAAAGGCTATAGCACTGCTGTATTTGGCTATAAAGAGAGGCTATAGCACTGCTGTTTTTAGCTATCCATGTAAATGACATATTTTTGTTTGTTCATGTATGTAGAGCATGTAAACATACTTCAGAAAATAGAAGTTTGAAGGTACTTAACCCCAATATGACTCCAGGATGAAAATGTGTTGAATTTGACTTTTTTTTTCAGAGCTTGGGTGGATGCATTTCAAAAAGTGGTAAGTTTATTTTGCTTTCTGTACAAAAGTTCACAAAATTGAGCTGATTTCAGCATAGACCAAGCCAGTTCTTGGTAAAGTTTAAATTGATCAAGTATTTTAATTTACTTTCTTTTTGATACATTTCAGTCTGTTGTTTACAGTCAACAGTTTGTAGTTGTTTTTAACCTTTGTATATTGACAGCTACCTCCCCCTCCCCAGCCAACTCATCCACCTCCTCAGCCACAGATGCCACAACAGCAACAGAACGGTCATGCACCAGTGCCATATGGATTTAATCCAGCAGTGTATCCTCCTAGTAAGTTCATCACAACTGTACTGATCAATGTTTCATTGTTATATCATTTACCAACTTTTTTTCAGTCGAACTTTCTAAGGCAGTGTACATTTTATTTATTGTAGTTAAGATAAGTACCATATTATTTAATAAAACCTCATGCCTGGTAATTTGACTTATATATATATATTTGACTTACCTTTGTACCACCTATATCAGTTGATATTCGGAAGAATTACCAACAAATGCTAATCCATTTTCCTGTAATAAGTGCACCCTCTAACTCAGAGGATATATCTGAAATGTAGTTAAGCTATATTTTTCTATTCCAAGCTTGTGAAAAGATACCAATTGGGCACAAATAAAAATTTTGTATTACATAGATAGCTTGGAAAAAAGACCCCGCATTAGTTTAAAATAGAAAAACAACCAGCCAAATTAGAAATTTGTAATTGTCATGATTTTGGAATGAAAAAGATGTGAAATATACAGTATATTGAATTGTATTTTATTCATTTGAATGTTATGGATATAACTTATGAATTGCAATTGAGAATGTTGGTAGGGGATGGGTGGTGGGGCATGGGGCGAGAGGGGGGGGGAGGGGGTGTTTGGGAGCTGAAATCAGTTTGATGAGTCAGTATATTGAATTTCATATTGGGCGTGGAAACGTTGTTATAAAATTCTTGTCTTGCCTGGTTACAATTTTTCATATTTTTCTGGGAAGTTTCATACTCTTTTACTGTCTTGAGTATGCTTTCAGACCACTTTATCCTAAATATCTAACACACAGTTTCGTATTTATTTGTTTAATTTGCAGTATTGTCAGAATGATAACATGTTTTTTTCAGATGGTGGAGCACCACCTAACCAGTATGGCCAGCAACCTTGTAAGTATCTTCATAAGCTGTATTACAAGTGAGATATTTGTGTAAAATCCTTGCAACTCATCCAAGCTTTTAATTTTGAACTGCTGAATATTATTTAAGGAAACAAGACAAGGTTCTGCATACTCACAACAAGTTAATATTCTGAAGGTCAAGGTCTCAAGGAAAGGTCAGACTTCAAACACTTTATCTCATGTTATAATCCTTTTAATGGTACTGTCAAGTCCAAGGAGTTGTATTATTAAATGTTGATTGCTATAACAAGACATCCAGACTCATGTACTCTCAGAGTCCATTATTGCAAGGGATCAAATCATTTATGTAGTTGACAAAACGGTAAATTTTGAACTGAGACTTGTGCCATCAAACGGTATGAATGATATGTGTGTCTTGTACCGCTTGTGTCCATCTTACACATTAATAAAGTTACAACAGTATTTATCTAGATCATGCCTCATATGTAACAAGATATGACTATACATTTTCTCCTGTGCATGTCTCATTCCCAAGGTCAATGCCATAGAAATGGATGCTGCAATGATTTAGACTCTTCAAGTAGTTAACATGTAGTACTTAAATTTTCTTTCTTTGTTTTAAGTTTTCTATCATTAAGTATTATAAATGCGTGTATTTGGTACAAAACATTTTGAAGTTTGTTATTGGACTTTTGTCCTCAACATTTGCTATAACCATGCATGACTTTTTTGAAATTTGTATAAATAGCAACACAGTTAAGAATACACACAGGTACTTTACATCATTCTGAAATCGTCTAATATTGAATATTATGAAATCTTCTGAATTATCAGCTTAACACATCTCCCCATTTAGTGCTAACATTAATTTCAGCTAAGTCTGATTTTCCTGAGTGTCTAGATTTCAAAATTTTAGCGTCCCAACATCCCTAATGAGTCCTAAAAGGAAGACACAGCTATATGATGCAGTTTGATTTATTAAGCCATGCTCTATCTAATTCAAAGTTTGTAGTTGCGATCAATTTCTGTGTCTTTTGTATGAGGGCAATCTTACATGTACAAGATGTTTTGTAGATTCAATATGTGATAAACATCCTCTTTAAGGTGTGGTGGGACAGATATGGACAAAGCTTTCTCAGTAGGTTAGACTGGGCAGTAGCTTTGTTAACCCATGTTTATTTCATAAAGATGTTAACCAATGTTTATTTCATTAAGATGTTAACCCATTTTTATTTCATTAAGGTGTTAACTATGTTTATTTCACAAAGATGTAATGGGATGATAATATGAATTCTCAAATAAATACTAAAACTTTTCTGTCTCCAGATGGTGCCCAGCCTCAGCAGTATGCAGGTCGGTATTTCTGTGTATTTTTTATACATTATTTCAGTCTGTCTAGGATTGAGGATATGTGTACATCCTATAATATACCCAGGGGGCCAACACATCACTTATGACTCAAAGTTTATGGGAGGGCTTATTAGGGACAATAAGTTACTATTTGTTTGTTATACTGTAACCAATTGGTGATGAACCCTTGTTTTCATTCTCTACATTTTACATCATATAAAACACTCTGTAATATAAACTTACCTCCTATATTGAGTGAAACGCCTGGAGAATTGTGATCCTACATCATGCTGTATGATATAGACACAGAGTGGAGAATTGTGATCCTACATAATACTGTATGATATAGACACAGAGTGGAGAATTGTGATCCTATGCATACTGTATGATATAGACACAGAGTGGAGAATTGTGATCCTACATAATACTGTATGATAGAGATACAGAATGGAGAATTGTGATCCTACGTCAAACTGTATGATATAGACACAGAGTGGAGAATTGTGATCCTACATAATACTGTATGATAGAGACACAGAGTGGAGAATTGTGATCCTACATAATACTGTATGATAGAGACACAGAATGGAGAATTGTGATCCTACATAATACTGTATGATATAGACACAGAGTGGAGAATTGTGATCCTACGTCATATGGTATGATAGAGACACAGAGTGGAGAATTGTGATCCTACATGATACTGTATGATAGAGACACAGAGTGGAGAATTGTGATCCTATGCATACTGTATGATAGAGACACAGAGTGGAGAATTGTGATCCTACATAATACTGTATGATATAGACACAGAGTGGAGAATTGTGATCCTACATGATACTGTATGATAGAGACACAGAGTGGAGAATTGTGATCCTATGCATACTGTATGATAGAGACACAGAGTGGAGAATTGTGATCCTACATGATACTGTATGATAGAGACACAGAGTGGAGAATTGTGATCCTATGCATACTGTATGATAGAGACACAGAGTGGAGAATTGTGATCCTACATGATACTGTATGATAGAGACACAGAGTGGAGAATTGTGATCCTATGCATACTGTATGATAGAGACACAGAGTGGAGAATTGTGATCCTACATAATACTGTATGATATAGACACAGAGTGGAGAATTGTGATCCTACATGATACTGTATGATAGAGACACAGAGTGGAGAATTGTGATCCTATGCATACTGTATGATAGAGACACAGAGTGGAGAATTGTGATCCTACATGATACTGTATGATAGAGACACAGAGTGGAGAATTGTGATCCTATGCATACTGTATGATAGAGACACAGAGTGGAGAATTGTGATCCTACATGATACTGTATGATAGAGACACAGAGTGGAGAATTGTGATCCTATGCATACTGTATGATATAGACACAGAGTGGAGAATTGTGATCCTACATGATACTGTATGATAGAGACACAGAGTGGAGAATTGTGATCCTATGCATACTGTATGATAGAGACACAGAGTGGAGAATTGTGATCCTACATGATACTGTATGATAGAGACACAGAGTGGAGAATTGTGATCCTATGCATACTGTATGATAGAGACACAGAGTGGAGAATTGTGATCCTACATAATACTGTATGATATAGACACAGAGTGGAGAATTGTGATCCTACGTCATACGGTATGATAGAGACACAGAGTGGAGAATTGTGATCCTACATGATACTGTATGATAGAGACACAGAGTGGAGAATTGTGATCCTATGCATACTGTATGATAGAGACACAGAGTGGAGAATTGTGATCCTACATAATACTGTATGATATAGACACAGAGTGGAGAATTGTGATCCTACATGATACTGTATGATAGAGACACAGAGTGGAGAATTGTGATCCTATGCATACTGTATGATAGAGACACAGAGTGGAGAATTGTGATCCTACATGATACTGTATGATAGAGACACAGAGTGGAGAATTGTGATCCTATGCATACTGTATGATAGAGACACAGAGTGGAGAATTGTGATCCTACATAATACTGTATGATAGAGACACAGAGTGGAGAATTGTGATCCTACATAATACTGTATGATAGAGACACAGAATGGAGAATTGTGATCCTATGCATACTGTATGATATAGACACAGAGTGGAGAATTGTGATCCTACATGATACTGTATGATAGAGACACAGAGTGGAGAATTGTGATCCTACATAATACTGTATGATATAGACACAGAATGGAGAATTGTGATCCTACATAATACTGTATGATATAGACACAGAGTGGAGAATTGTGATCCTACGTCAAACTGTATGATATAGACACAGAGTGGAGAATTGTGATCCTATGCATACTGTATGATAGAGACACAGAGTGGAGAATTGTGATCCTACATGATACTGTATGATAGAGACACAGAGTGGAGAATTGTGATCCTATGCATACTGTATGATAGAGACACAGAGTGGAGAATTGTGATCCTACATGATACTGTATGATAGAGACACAGAGTGGAGAATTGTGATCCTATGCATACTGTATGATATAGACACAGAGTGGAGAATTGTGATCCTACATGATACTGTATGATAGAGACACAGAGTGGAGAATTGTGATCCTATGCATACTGTATGATAGAGACACAGAGTGGAGAATTGTGATCCTACATGATACTGTATGATAGAGACACAGAGTGGAGAATTGTGATCCTATGCATACTGTATGATAGAGACACAGAGTGGAGAATTGTGATCCTACATGATACTGTATGATAGAGACACAGAGTGGAGAATTGTGATCCTATGCATACTGTATGATAGAGACACAGAGTGGAGAATTGTGATCCTACATAATACTGTATGATATAGACACAGAGTGGAGAATTGTGATCCTACGTCATACGGTATGATAGAGACACAGAGTGGAGAATTGTGATCCTACATGATACTGTATGATAGAGACACAGAGTGGAGAATTGTGATCCTATGCATACTGTATGATAGAGACACAGAGTGGAGAATTGTGATCCTACATAATACTGTATGATATAGACACAGAGTGGAGAATTGTGATCCTACATGATACTGTATGATAGAGACACAGAATGGAGAATTGTGATCCTATGCATACTGTATGATAGAGACACAGAGTGGAGAATTGTGATCCTACATGATACTGTATGATAGAGACACAGAGTGGAGAATTGTGATCCTATGCATACTGTATGATAGAGACACAGAGTGGAGAATTGTGATCCTACATAATACTGTATGATATAGACACAGAGTGGAGAATTGTGATCCTACATAATACTGTATGATAGAGACACAGAATGGAGAATTGTGATCCTATGCATACTGTATGATATAGACACAGAGTGGAGAATTGTGATCCTACATGATACTGTATGATAGAGACACAGAGTGGAGAATTGTGATCCTACATAATACTGTATGATATAGACACAGAATGGAGAATTGTGATCCTACATAATACTGTATGATATAGACACAGAGTGGAGAATTGTGATCCTACGTCAAACTGTATGATATAGACACAGAGTGGAGAATTGTGATCCTACATGATACTGTATGATAGAGACACAGAGTGGAGAATTGTGATCCTACATGATACTGTATGATAGAGACACAGAGTGGAGAATTGTGATCCTACATGATACTGTATGATAGAGACACAGAGTGGAGAATTGTGATCCTACGTCATACAGTATGATATAGACACAGAATGGAGAATTGTGATCCTATGCATACAGTATGATATAGACACAGAGTGGAGAATTGTGATCCTACGTCATACAGTATGATAGAGACACAGAGTGGAGAATTGTGATCCTACGTCATACGGTATGATAGAGACACAGAGTGGAGAATTGTGATCCTACGTCATACGGTATGATATAGACACAGAGTGGAGAATTGTGATCCTACATCATACTGTATGATTTATGTTTGTCAATCTATGAAAGAGTTAATGAAAAAAAGTAGAACACTATAAAATGTTAAGTATGTCAGTGAGTGACAGTTATTCAAAGTATGCATCATTACATCTTTATTTCGTGTACTACACTATAGAGTTCAAACAGAGACCTATACACATATAGGTTGTACCTATATGTTAGTGTACTACGCTATAGAGATCAAACATAGACCTATACACATATAGATTGTATCAAACATAGACCTAAACACATATAGGTTGTACCTATATTTTAGTGTACTACACTACAGAGTTCAAAGAAGACCTATACACATATAGGTTGTACCTATATATTAGTGTACTACACTATAGAGATCAAACAGAGACCTATGTACATGTAGGTTGTACCTATATTTTAGTTTACTACACTACAGAGTTCAAACATAGACCTATGTACATATTGGTTAAAGATGAGCTTGGTGTGACCTCAATATTTATAGGTAGCTACTATCAAGTTGAAATCAGTATTTGTAAACTAATATCTATGTATATATATCTTTGTCCAGATACTCTATATCTGTGGTAAATACTATTGTATATATTGATATACTTTGTTTTATCAATAAGATAATGAATATGTAGATGTAAACCATCATTTAGATATTTGTGTACCAATGTTAGATGCTTTGTTTACCTAGGACACCCGACGACGGTAGTGGTAAATAACACTACACACACACAGACTAATCATAGCAGTGGTGATGGATTTGCTACCGGTGAGTGATATATATCTGGATTCTTCAAACTATGATAATTCCTAAGTTTAATATCAGTGGAAAGTTATACAGTAATTAAAATCTTGCAATGTTTAGAGTGTGGCTTTTTAACCTTATATGAATGCAATGCGATGTGCCTCTTGTATGCTGGTCAGTGAGATAGCCTCCAGCTTTTACAAATAAGAGACCACCTTTCAAGATAACCCTGGCCATTCATGGGCAAGAAACCCAGTAAACAGAACAAATATTTTGTTTTTATTTATTTTGGTTAGTTATGTGTGATTTGATATATGATGTTGTTTACTTTGTACCATTTCTCATTCCAGGTTTACTGTTGGGAGGAGCTCTAGGCTATGGAATGGCCCGTCCCTATGGTTGGGGATATGGCTGGGGATGGGGAGGTTATGGCTGGGGCTATCATGGATGGGGCTCTGGTAGTTGGGGAAGCTTTGGATCACATGGCTGTGGTGGCTATGGTGGGGGTGGTTGTGGTGGTGGGGGATGTGGAGGTGGATGTGGAGGAGGCTGTGGAGGAGGTGGAGGTGGATGTGGAGGGGGTGGAGGTGGATGTGGAGGGGGAGGAGGTGGATGTGGAGGTGGGGATGGTGGTGGAGGTGGGGATGGTGGTGGGGGTGGATGTGGAGGTGGTGGCGGGGATGGAGGCGGTGGCTGTGGTGGTGGTGGCGGCTGCGGTGGCGGCTGTGGAGGGGGCTGTGGAGGGGGTTGTGGGGGAGAATAGAACTCCCCATTCAATTCATATATTTGGACATAATTTCTTTGTTTTTTATGCAATTGTAAATGAATACTGTAAGATTATGTAATAGGGGTTACCAAACAAAAAAAATCATCTAAAGTAATGAAGGGGTTGATGGTATGGACATACACTATCTTATAATATGAAAAAAGATTAACAAACATTTTATGTGTACTCATACGATATAAATATTTTCATTACTGAAAATATCTTGAGGATTTGATGCTCAAATGCTTTTTCTTTAGAATTATTTATCTCCAGGTTTTTAGATAGTGTATGGATATACTCAAAAAAAAAAAACAAAAAAAAAAACACATTTACAGTTCATTTTTTTTCTGCCATTTTTTTTTGAAAAGTTTACATGTGATATTTGATAAGATCCGTCCAGAACAATATAATTTTTTTTCCAAATGTATTTTTTTAGCATGTTACATACTACATTACTTTTTATTTGTATATGTATCAGTCCTTTGAAATGCATTTCTTTCTAATTATGTATAAATACTTACCTTACTGTATTGTCCTCACTTTACTTAATATCTGTAGATGTATTTCCAGTAGCAGTCTGTGATCTACTCCCTGTATATTCATTTTATGGTTGTACAGACATGCCCCTAACTTTAACAATCACACTAGTATAAAGACATGACACCCTGATTTATTAGCTAGCCATGATACCTGCTAAGGACGATACTGCTATGGCAGTTATACAACTACAAGATTTCATTTCAGTTGATACTGAGGATATATATTATTTCGAATGAGAGAGTGTTGTGATTATATAGATGCTTTGTCATTAGTGTAAATGTCATCCTTGATAGCAATAACTGACTGATGTTTGTGGATAGGTTATACTAAACTGTAGCCATAAGCTTTATCCATGCTATCTGTTTATATATTATATACACAATGTCATTGTTATGTTGTTAATATGGAACTATTCCTTTGTTTTTTACCTATATATCGGGTATATTGTTAAGATGAGACCAGCATTTTGATTCTTTAAAAACTAATCTAGTATCAAACTTTTGTCTAACTCATAACTACATGTTTATTACTAACTCCTGTTTAATGTCCAACTCCTAACTCTTGTCAAACATCTAAATACTACTACTGTCTATCTTTTGATTACACATATGTATCATCCAAATTCTAACTGGTGTCTAACTTTGTAGTAGCATCTAACCCTATCGAGTGTGTAACCGTTTACTAGTGTCTAACGTAGTAGCATTTAATCCTATCTAGTTTCTAATATTTTACTAACATCTAACCCTGTCTGGTGTCTAACTTTTCCCCTTGTGTCTAATTTCTTTGTAGCATCTTACCCTGTCTAGTGTCTAACCTCTTCGTATTCTCTTACATCTAACCATTGATGAACTAGTGGTTATCTTCTATCTAGTGTCTAACTTTGTTCAAGTGTATAACTAACTAGCACATGTATCTAATTTCAAAGTAGTGTCTAACTCCTTTCCTATCGTCTAACTCAAATCTAGCATCTAACTCCTAACTTGTGTCTAACTTCTAAATAGTGTCTTATTTCATCTACTGATTTTCCTTTTTGCCATGCTTACTTTTTCTGTTATATTACAAAAAGGAAACTGGTTAGAATTAGGTAATGAGATGTTGTTTGACACTATGGTTTGAGGATTAAACTGGGCTGGACTGGATTTTGTGGTGATGCTATGTTTCCATATGGAATAAAAAGGAATTGAAGACATTGTTCTGCAACAGCATTGGATACAAAGGAACATTTTTGTCTACATAAATTGTTATTCTATTGTTAATTGATTGTGTTGTTATGTTTCCTATGTGCTTTAATTTGTTGCCTTCCTTTTTACATGTATCATGTACATTAAGGAATTAATTCGTACATTTACCCCATCATTCTGTTTAAATTTGACTGAGTGATCAAACATTGTACTGGTGGAAACAGTGCTGTACATTGAGATTCTTCTGATATCTATGGGATAATTATAACTCAAAGTTATAAAGTGAACGAGGATACAGAAAATAAATATTTAACATTCCGGTATATCATCATACCATTACTTTGCCATATCAACAGTACAGGTTTTGTCATTATCACTTGATTTCATAGTGTAAAATTAATTGTTGAATTATAAATTAATCTATATGTTTTTCTTTACATATTTTGTTTTTAACTGTGATATTAGAATTCGAGTGAAGTATTTGGTTTTGTTTCTTTTATACTTACACAAATATATGTGACATGTTGTCATGTTAATATTTGTTTATCATTTTTAATGTCAATTTTATCCTTTAATAAAATTTGATACAATTTCAAACATTTAGTCTTTCTTTGTTTTGTTAATGACATTGTTTAAATCAAATTGTTGCAAAAGATAAAGTGCATCACTTTGTACAAGTGTATAATTTACTAATACATGTGTCTAATTTTAAAGTAGTATTTAAATTCTAACTATCGTCTAACTCCTAACTTGTATCTAACTTCTAAATAGTGTGCATTTTCATCCGCTAATTTTTCTTCTTTTTTATTGATAATATATTGTGTTACCATACAGCCAAACGTGTAGGCATACTAAAATCTATCGACATTCATTAATATTTTTGAAACAATAATGAACAACATTTCACCAGGGGCTGACCACAAATGTGCCACATTATGGCAATAGATTAATTCCTAACTTAAAAAGAATTTAAATAATTTTCAAAACGTTCATTATCATGACAATATTTCTCATGAACATATTTTGGAATATCAATAAATGGCTTTTCACTGACGGTTGTCCACAAATTATGGCCAGGAATAGATTTTCAAAATTTCAAATTAGAAGAAAAAAAATCTTTAAACGTTGATGTTATTGTCAAAATTTCTTTGAAATAAATTTATCAACATAATCATTACTGAATAGCCATTTCACCCAAAACTGTCCAAAAGTGCCAAATTATGACCAAGCGTAGATTTTCATCTCTTGATAACATAGATAATATTGCAAAATATCTTTGAAGTAAATTTATCAATAAATATCGAATTTATTGAACAATTTATCGAAAACTTTCCACAAGTGTGCCAAAGTATGGTAAATAATATCTACAAAACTTTGATAATATTGTCAAACATGTCTGAAATCTATCCATCAATATAATTTGAAGCAGTAATGAACTGTCATTTTGCCAAAGACTGCTCAAAAACATGAAAAATTATGACAAGGACTTATTTTTAAAACAAAATCTTCAAAACGCTGGTGATATGGTTTAAAAAGATTTTTATGCAATCCCATCAACATATTTTGGAAAATTAATGAACGGTCATTTAACCAAAGACTGCCCACAAATGTGCCAAATTACAGCAAAGAATACCTTCCGAACGTTTCGATCATTTTCAAAAGTATCATTGAAGTAAATCTATCCACATAGTTTGAAACATTAATGAACGGTCACTTCACCAAAGACTGCCCACAAATTTGCCAAAATATTGGAAAGAATATCTTCAGAACATTGTAACTATTATGAAACATGTCGTTGCAGCAAATTCATCAACATAGTTTGGAACATTAATGAACAGTCATGTAACCGAAGATTGCCTACAAATGTGTCAAATTATGGCAAAGAATACCTTCCGAACGCTTCTATAATTTTCAAAGGTATTATTGAAGTAAACCCATTCACATAGTTCAGAACATTAATGAACGGTCATTTCACCGAAGACTGCCCACAAATGTGCCAAACTATGGTTATGGATTATAGTAAGGAATACCTACTGTACATTACTAAACTAAACAAAATAGATATACATTTGAAAATGGAGATAACCCATCAACATATTTTGGAACATTAATTAACGGCAATTTAACCAAAGACTGCCCACAAATGTGCCAAAATATGGCAAAGAATATCTTCAGAACATTGTAACTATTATGAAACATGTCTTTGAAGTAAACCCATCAACATAGTTTGGAACATTAATGAACGGGAATTTAACAAAAGACTGCCCACAGATGTGCCAAAATATTAGAAAGAATATCTACAGAACATTGTAACTATTATGAAACATGTCTTTGAAGTAATCCCATCAACATAGTTTGGAACATTAATGAACAGCCAATTCATCGCCAAATTATGGCAAAGAATACCTTCCGAACGTTTCTATAATTTTCAAAAGTATCATTGAATTTAACCTATCAACATATTTTGAAACTTTTATGAACTGTCATTTCACCGAAGACTGCCTACAAATGTGTCAAATTATGGCAAAGAATACCTTCCGAACGCTTCTATAATTTTCAAAGGTATTATTGAATTTAACCTATAAACATATTTCTTAACATTTATGAACTGTCATTTCACCGAAGACTGCCCACAAATGTGCCAAACTATGGTTATGGATTATAGTAAGGAATACCTACTGTACATTACTAAACTAAACAAAACAGATATACATTTGAAAATGGAGATAACCCATCAACATATTTTGGAACATTAATTAACGGCAATTTAACCAAAGACTGCACACAAATGTGCCAAAATATGGCAAAGAATATCTTCAGAACATTGTAACTATTATGAAACATGTCTTTGAAGTAAACCCATCGACATAGTTTGGAACATTAATGAACGGCCATTTAACAAAAAACTGCCCACAGATGTGCCAAAATATTGGAAAGAATATCTACAGAACATTGTAACTATTATGAAACATGTCTTTGAAGTAATCCCATCAACATAGTTTGGGACATTAAAGAACAGTAATGTAACCGAAGACTGCCCACAAATGTGCCAAATTATGGCAACAAATACCTTCCGAACGTTTCTATAATTTTCAAAAGTATTATTGAAGTAAACCTATCAACATAGTTTGAAACATTTATGAACTGTCATTTCACAGAAGACTGCCCACAAATGTGCCAAATTATGGTGATGAATTATAGTAAGGAATACCTACAATATATTACTAAAACTTCACCAAAGACTGACCACAAATGTGCCAAAATATGGCAAAGAAT